ATGATACCATTGTGACTGAGAAAGAGAGACCTGAGCAGAGGGCAGGAAGAGCCTAAGATTAGTTTTGGGCCTAGAGGAACTAAAATGTTTGTGTTTATGTTTGTTAGGAAATTAAAAGTGCAGTGCTTGGAGACCTAAGTTGGGAAATTAATGTAAGTTCCACACCTTATAACAATGGATAGAGTAAAACCAACCGAAAGAAATACTTTGTGTATTAATGCCCTGCACTCTCTTTCAGCATCATTGGAAGACTATAACTCACCTGGCAGCATGCCACGAGAAATTTTAAATACAAGTAAGGGGTGTGGACCTCAACTACTGGGAAAGAGGAACTACTGGGATAGAGTGCCTGAACTATTGGGATGTGTGTGTGTGTGTGTGTGCTCTTACCATCCAAGTCAATATGACTTCAATTTTACAGGTAAAGTCTAAGATAACAAGAGAATTGTTTTCATTATTCTTTCTTCTTTCCTCTTTCTGCCTAGTGACTCCTCTCCAGACTCTGCAGTCCACTATGAAGTGGTACCATGTGGTATGTGACATTTGATAAGGACATTCATTAGTGCATCCAAAATCTCCTCCATGGGGAAAAAATCACATTCACTATCTCTATTACAAATATGTTAAAGTTAATGCTTAGCTTGTGTAGGTAGATGGAGATAACTCAACATTATCCTCCTCTATAGCATGATTATCTCAATCACTCTCCTAAATATTTGGAAATGACCTTCAGCAACAGTTCAAAATGGTCTACCCCAAGCCTATTGATTCTCCACCCACGATGACCGCCTTATGGCTCCCCAAGTCTCCCTCTCTGATACCATTACTGTGGAAATCACCAAAACAGCAGCCCTCCCAACTCAGCTTGATGTCATATGACATCTCTCTTTTTCTACTTCTATAATTTTTTTCCTAGGCCTCTGGGCACTTTTCTTGTCCTTCACTACTAGAGGTCAGAGAAGTAACTATTCATTTTATGCTCTTTGGAGTGTGTAAAATATTTAATTTGTTAGTGGATATTCATTAATCAGTTTTTAATAAATATGGATTGCAATAATGAACATTTAACAAATTCTATCACCATTTTAATACCAACATTTAAGTCAAAATTAGCACAAAAAATACCACCACAATAAAATGTGTGATCTCTCAGGAATGGGTATATATAGTTATTAAAACTTTAATACATAGTTCCATTATATTAGATATAAAACATCACTGATTATTAAAGTTAAAATGTTGGTAACAGTTGATAGATGAATTGAATTTTGCTAGTTAAGGAGATCATTTGCCAATATCCCCAACTCAAAGGAGAAAAGAAAGGAAGTGTTGGCATTTCATTCATCCATTCATTTATTCAAAAGCAGCTTTAGAGTATCTGTGACATGTCCAATATTGCTCTGTAATTTTGAGATGCAACACAAAATGAAATTCAGAAACTAGTTTCAAATTGCCATAGTCCAACAACAAATGAATTGTTAGTGCTAAGAAAGGTCAGTAACTTACAAGGAAGGCAGAGCAGGTTCTATATAACAGGTGCATGCTGGAAGGGACATTCGAATTTACCTGTGGTTAGAGATGCCTTAAATGGATGTTGAAGGATGGGCGAAATATTTGGCTGAAAGTGAAGTGGATCCCTGGCAGAGGATGGAGCACAGGTGTGTGAGAAAGCAAAGAGTACCACACACCAGGACACTTTCCTAAAGAAATGTGTTCCTCATGAGCAAGGATCTATGGCCACCACCTGCTGAGGCAGAAGTGATGACCAATGGGACGGAGATAAGATATTGTTCAATGAATGAAAACGGGAAGATGAAAGGAGGAAGGGCACAGGGAAAGAAGGAAGAAGGAAAATCATTCTTCAGTTTCAGAGTTACAACTTCAGATTAGGAAGGAAGAGACGAGACAGAGCCACCTTCCCCATTCAAGCAACAACTTCAGCTAACACGTAGTAGACACTCACTAGGGACATGCTAGTTAGCATGTCTGCGTGCTTAAAATGAACTACCATTCCCTCCTCATAACAGCCCTCTAGGGGAAGAGCAATTCTTATCCCTACTTTGAAAAGAGCAAAAACATGGCAAGAGGCGACTTGCCTGTTGTGACATAATTATTAAGTCAATGAGTCAGCATAAAAACTCGAAGTCTGGTAGGAGAGTTAAGCCTAGCACCAAAGCTGTTGTCACTAAACACAAAACACTTGTTTGCCCTGGGAAGAGTGAATAAATTATGATGTTAGAGATTTTAAATAAAAGGATTTAGAATTATTGGTGGTGATATTGTTTATTTAAACTTTTCCATACAATGTATTATGATTATGTTTCCCCTCCCTGAACTTTCAGATTCTCCCCACCTCCCTACCCATCCAACTTTATGCTCTCTCCACCCCTCTTTCAAAAAATCCACAAAATGGAAATCAAAACAAATTATAAGACAAAAATTATGCCAAAACGAAACAAAAAGCACACAAAAAAAGATCATGAACTTTGTTTTATATTGGCCAGCTACTCATGGGAACTGGTCCTGCCCCAGAGTATAGTTAATACACTTAGTGACTCCATTGAAGAAAACTGATTTTCCCTTTGCCAGCAGGTATCAACTGTAGATAGCCCCTTGATTAGAAGTGGGACTCTGTGTCTATATCCCCTCTCACTGCTGGGATCTCATCTAGCTTGAACCAGTCCAGGTTTTGTGTATGCTGCGTCAGTATCTGTGAGTTCATAGGCACATCAGTCCTGTTTTGTCTGGAAGGTATTTTTTTCCCTGGAGTCAACCATGACACCATTAATAACCAAAAGTGATAGGTAAAATTTTGAAACCGCAACACCCGTACATCTAGTAGGGAAGAATGTTGCACTTCAGAATTGCCCAGAAGACTTTTACAAAACGTTGGTGACTGGGCTTGATGACAAATATCTGGAAATGTAGCTTAATAGTCAGAATCTTTATTTTTAGCCTCTTTATGTATTTATAGGACATTATGAATATTACTAACTGATTTCCAAGGGCACAATGCCAATGGAACTTAATTTATGATAAAATACTGGAAGATCATAACTGGTCAAAGACAGTCTGTTAGGTTAGTCAATGTAAGGGGACAGGAGCAATGAATTTTTGGCTCAGTGGCAGAGTTTGATTTCAAGATAGACAAGATACCATAGAGTTTTGTATTATAGTGAGGGTTGTCTGACGTGTGGTTATTATTTTCTCCCAGCAATATGTTATATGCTAACAATACAGATCACCCAGAATCATCCCCTAAAGGTTGAATAAAATCATATTTGGTATTATAAGAGAAATAAAAAGAGAAAGGAGAATTACTTCTCTGTGCCATTCAGTCCTAGTGAACTTGAAAGAGGAGGGACTAAGGAGAGCTTATTTTTTCTTTTTTATTTTAATTTACCTTTATTTTATGTGCATTCGTGTTTTGCCATGGGTGTCAGATCCCCTGAAACTGGAGTTAAAGACAGTTGTGAGCTGCCATATAGATGCTGGGAATTGAACCCTGATCCTCCGGAAGAGCTTAACTGCTGAGCTATTTCTCCAACCCCTAACTAGGGAGAGTTTAATGGCTATGTGAGGCAGAATGCTATGCCTGAAGGTGAAAGCCATTTTCTTAGTTCAAACCCCAAATTAGGAAGTTCCTAATTTAATACCCAGGCAAGCTGCCCTGCTCAATGCTCACACAGATCCCACAAGACTCAACCCTGGAGACTCAAGAATAGCATGAAGCAAAGAGAGACGAGACTTTTCTCCCAAGGTAGCAATTAATCAGTTATATGCATTTGCCTGTACATTAGAGGTACTGGATCCCATTAGAGATGTCATTATAATATATCAGAAATAGGGATCAAGAGTTTCTTGTCTCTAAAGTCAAGAGTAATGTGCTATAGAACCTTGGCTGGGTAGGAGAGGTGCGTATAGGAAAGAGGGCTCCTCAGTCATCCTTTGCTAAGAGTCCATTTGTCTTTATTAAATTCCTTGTGTGTTTCAGAGGTCGATGGTTCAATGGTTTGTTAGATGTGCACTTTTCTGTTCTTCCCTCCCCAAATATTATATTTACAATGTTTTGAATGTTCCTTTTCTCTGAACAAACTTTTGATTTTAATTAAAGTTTGGTTTGCTTTCATTTTCGTTGCTTATGCTTTAAGGCCCAACCAAAAATTCAATGTCAAGGCCAATTTCAAGGGCATTTTTCCTGGAGTTCTATAGTTGTCGTTAAGTTTTTAGTAAATTAATCACTTAATTTTTCTCATATGGCACAAGACAAGGGCCCAACATCATATACCTCAATATATATTGTGACTGTTCTTTTGCCATTTTATGTTCTTGGTACCCACACCTAGGGTAGACTATCTTTGGGTAAAATTATTCCTTAACTCTCAGTTTCACTTCATTGATTTGGGGGATTTGTTCTCAGGTCTGCTCTCTCGTCACTTTACAATGTGTTGGTAACTCCACTCTCTTTTCCTCTGGGTTGCTTTGGCTAATTGGGGTCCAGTTTTCCAGTTTTGACAGGAAACATTACATGTTCTTATTGAGATCTCTTCAATTCCTATGTTGTCATGGTTACATGGTTAAGTTAGATAGCTGCTCATTAAATGGCCTTGATCCTTATTCTCTAGGCTGAATTTATGTGTTCATCAGTAAGACTTGACTTCAATTACCTAGCTGACATTTCCATAAGTTGACACTATACCAAATAGATTGCACTCAACTTTTCAGTGGTATACAGACACATACCTGGTAAACAGCATCCCATACAAATTTAGTCTAAATGTTACAAAATCATAATGGCTGGCTGTAAAAAAGCCACCAACACTGTGGTCGAGTCACAGAACTTCTAGTTTTAATCCCATGAACTCTTCCATTTACAATCTGATTTGCTTCCTTTATTCTCTGTAAAAAGGAGAACTGAACATGGTCTTATGAATATCACTGTTCTATAATTGTTGATACTTTGTTTTTTGTTTGTTTTGTTTTGTTTTTGTTTTGTTTAGGAGTCTAAATCTGAAATCCTAGTGGATACATACTCAGGCCTGTTAGGTGATCAATCCATTATCTTGGCCATGAACTCGAGGTATGTAAGCTATAATGATCCCTGATTTCACTAATATCTTGCAAGTGTTATAGATTTAAAACATAACATTTAAAACATAGTTATTCTCAATTCCTTCACCCCACTTCAGCAAGCATTGTTTCCCTTTTAAGCTATCTCCTAAGTTTCTGGATTGCATGGATAATTAGATACTTTCTGGCTGATGGTGGGGTAGGTTTCTTTTGCAACTGATTCGAAGATGCATACAATACTAAAAAAATTGACATGTGTAAAGCATGTGGCTATGAAGATATGGTAATAATACTGCCTAGTTATCTGAAGTGGTTTTGCCTGGGCATGTAATCAGTCTATAACTTTATTTCTAGGGAAATATGTTCTGATTTCTAAGTAACTGTATACCATACTTTCAAAGAGTATCACTGTTTCATAATTGAAGCATCATTGTTAAAAGAATATCAAAACCTTTGTGTCATATAAAGCCCCAAACTGTACCTCACACTTAGTACTTTTGTGCTAAGAAAACCCCAATCAAGTTGGGTTGCATTTGAAATCTCACTGATTTTGTAATTACATTGCTTTTTCTTATCAGTTGTGTTGATCCTTTGATACAATTTGAGGCACAGTTGAAGATATTAGAGTTATCTTTCCAAAAGATATTTTCCTTGCCAAATATTAATGTATTGAAATCAATGGGGAAGAATTCTGATGACACTGATGAACTGGAGGTAGGTTTCTTCTTCCTTTACTGATGATAAGGCCTTGGTATACACCGCAGTAAACTACCTGGTGCACCTCTGTGATTAGAATCTCCTGCCTACTTCTTTATTTGTCTATCATATAGTATTTGCTCTCATTAACCCATATCCCTGACATACTCATGACTATAAAGATTTAACAGATTGTACAAGTGAGTGAAAATAGTTTGAGTTAATTGATTTAGCATGACAAAGGAGCTTGTTGGGAAGTTCTGAAAGGGAGGAGGGAGCAGAAAAATGCAGATACCAAGAATCCTAACATCAGCAACATTTGTGGTTTCTGTCATGTCCACATGGCTACATGGTACATGTGAGCCTTAAGCTGGCACTGCAACTGAGAAAAGATGCTTTGAGTGATAGAAGATGCTGTGAGTGATATAAGATGTTAATGAGTGATATAAGATGCTATGAGTGATAGAGGATGCTAATGAATGATAGCTAATGATATGATGATGTTAATGAGTGAGGTCTTAGCAGCAGAGCTGCCCCTCGCCCTCTTCGTTCTCATCTTAAGTTTACAGGGGCAACTGGGATACTTAAATGCAAAGCTATACACATTTGGTAAAATTTTGTTTAAGGCTGGCTGGCCTACTGCACATTTCTGTTTTGTATTTCAGAATTTATTTGAAAATATTTTCAACATATATGAAGATACTCTTCTTATTTTAGTGTCTAAAGATTTCTACAAGTTACAGATCTTAAAGGTAAAAGCAAAGCACATGGTTTTGTTACAGTGTAAACAATTCAGCACATTCTGTTTATTTCTAGCTGGCCATATTCGTCTCTCCATTTAGTATTGGGAGGCTGGAATTTTTTTTTTTTTCTAAACGTTCAATGGTGTAAAATTAATCACAGAGTTAACCATTTCCTTTATTTAAGTTATTGAAAGATTAAATTTTAGGAAATGGTGTTAATGGCTACTGAGAAGTCATGTCTTCCGTGAAAACATGGGAGTTGGGGGGTAGTAAAGAACCGTGCTCCCTTTGAGTTTACACAATAATGTCAATTCTGTGATGGCACCTGTTTGCACTCTGTTCCACCACTGCTGAAGCCAAGGACTCTGCAACAGTTTGATTTCTGTAGCTGTGAGTAAACAAATAACACCTTAAGAGAGGAAGGGGTTTATTTTACTTAAAGTTTAAAGCTTTAGTCCATAATTGTAGAGAAGTCACAATGGCAGGGATTCAAACAACATGCCTTATCCACAGTCAAGAGCAAAGAGAAATGATACACCCTGGGTGCCTGATTGCTAGGTTGCTTTTGCTCATCTAGCTTTCTTCATTTATATAGTCCAGGACCACATGCCTAGGGAATGGTACCACCACAGTGGGTTGGATCTTTCTGTATCACTCAGCCAAGGACAGGTCCTCAGACACACCTCGAAGTCAACCTGATTTAAGAAGTTTCTCAATGGAGTTTCTCTTCCCAGGTGACTTAAGGTTATGTTAAATTGACATTTAAAACTAACCAGCACATATGTCCATGTACAGCTTATCTTCATGTCTACCACATGAGCGATGATCTCAGTCAAGGACACTGGTAGAATGATTTAAAAAAAAAAAAAAGCTATGTGAATGAAGTCTCAGAAAGAAGGAAGGAGGTGCTGGACACTAGAATAAAAGATAATCTTATCACACAACTACAGAGACTTGGAAGAAGTAAGAAGTGTGCCTGTGTTAGAACTTTGGGGAAGGCAGACCTGTAAAATCCTCTTCTGGAAAGAGAAGTTAAGATATCAACAATTTCACCTCATCTCCTCATTTCCATTTTTGGAACTAGGCTATCCAGAAGGTGATGTTTCTAAGTAGCAAAGTGTGCATTTTGCTACACAGCTTCTTTCTGTCAGTTATAGTGAAAGGAGAGAAGGAAAGCAGGATTTAAATATTAAAGTATTAAATAAAAGTACTGTAGAATGCAAATATGTAACTCTCACACTGGACAAGTATGGCACCATGTGTGCTTGAGAGATAATGCTACTCAAGAGATTGATCTACACAGGAGAAAGCCAGATTCTGTCCATCTGGACAATAGGAAAAGGATCCTGAAGACTTTTCAGAGATCTTTGAGGCAAGCCAGCTCATCAAAGGCACAGTTTCTGTAGAGGTACCCCTAGGGCCACAGCATTAACTAATCTGCACCACTTGAACACTCTGCTCTTCAAATACCAGAAAACTATACCTCCATTGTTCTGGATGACTGAGCCAGGCCAAGGTGTGGCTCCATCCACATCTTCGGAAGGTATGAGCCATAAATCTTAGTGGTGTTCTCATGGTGGTAGTTCTGCGGACATACAGAAGCTAAGATGCTGTCTCCAGAATATCTAAATCAAGAGGCAGAGTAACTCTGAGATAAGTTGATATTTCTGGATCAGATACAATTTCAGTACGCTCTTAAGGGTGAAATACAAACACTACGCTTTTTATAGCATACCATCATAGTCTCAAACAAAACATTTAATGATACCTGAAAATTTAGATTATAGTGAAAATTAGTAACTGTTGAATACATTTAATAGAGGACAAATATGTTAGTATAATAGTGGAAGTTGCACAGTAGTTGGAGGGTTGGGTTTTTGTTGTAGAGAAAAATGAGATAACATATGGATTAATCAGTAGATGATGTTACCTGCCTTGATAAAGTTGGAAACTACAAAGATGAGCCTTTCATAAATGAAAATATTGGATTCTAATACAGCTGTTATGTTTCCAACAGGAAATAACCACGTGGATGAATCAGAATAATCAGTACCTGCAAGAACGAGCAATGATGATCATCACCAGAGTGCTAATGTTTGCATCCAAGAGAGCCAAGAAATACGTAAGCCACTGACTTTACAAGTGCTGCTAACTCAAGGCTGAATTTCTAGAGGACTGTTTGCCAGGTCTTAGGTCTTGAGATCACTGATACTGGCTTGGTACCAATGGGTAGGGAGACAGGGATATCTAGAAAGTGTCTACAGCCTACATAACTGTGACTCAATTAGAGCAGTGTTTTTTTCCAGTGATTAAAGTGCATTCTACTTTTATACACATACAATGTACATGTTAAAGCCCCAGATTTTTACTATCTATACTCTTCTCTGTTGACCCAGTGTTATGTGTAATGGCACATATGTCACCCTTCTTCCCTGTTTTCTAGAGTATCTTTAAACCTTTTTATTTTAAATACATACAACCAATTGTAGGGGGTGGGGTATCTTGGCAAATGCCACAACCCATAGAGTAAAATCTACATGAGGCAAGCAGGAAATCTGGTTCAACACTACTTAGGTGATGTTGGTTCAGGTTTCTAGAGTCTGATCCCAAGCAGTTACTGTGAACATATTTAAGTACAGTAGGATTTGAAAAAAAAAAAAAAAGTATCCTGGTGTAATACAATCCCCTTTGCACAAACAGGCATAATTCTATCAAAACTCTTCAAACTACATGTCCCTTCTTCCAAGAAGAAGGGTTCTAAGGATCCTGTGTGGCCTTGATCATACAGTATTGTAGAGTGCCTTTAGGCTATTAATCACCTCCAGTACTGGCTGTGGGAGCTAGGAGTAGCCCCTGGCCACACAGATAATGCAAAAGTCAACTAGACCGTTTGCCAGCTCCCGGCCTGTTAATGGGAGCTTGGTGTAACCCAGCTGTGCAGATAGTGCAGATCACCAGGTTCTTAGCCACCTCCATTCCCAGCCTTCTGGATAGAAAAACAGGCTGTACATAATTTTCTTGAGAAGACAACTCTGTGCTTAACATTCCTGGTTTTGGTAGTGCTATCTGTGAGTGCAAGGATCTTCGTGTCCCCAACAGCTAATCCTTGAGTTCTTCTACATTCACCGCTCTAAAGTCTACACCTTTCCTTACTCTCCTCTCCACTGCACTCTATCCCCGTCAGTGTGGCATATATCCTGTCAGGCCGTGTGTGCATTACCTCATTTGTCTTCACTACAATAACCTATGGTTCTTCCTTGGTCTTTTAAACAGTGTGTCCCATTGATGTTTCAATCCATGTAACTTTATTTCACACTTCTATGCCATGGGTGTCTCACGTTTTTGGTACATTACGATTGACATATCTTACTTTCTGATTGATGATTAATTATCAAGGAGTGTTTTAATTCTTCTATCTTACATAACACAGAGTAGTCTGTGCAGACCTTTATAGATGTGTATCTAGTCATGTTTAATGGAGTAATTATTAGGAGAAAGGTGTGAGTAGCTAAGGTTCATTAAAACATGGTTTGTATTCTTCTCACAGCCTCACAAATACTGAGATATTGTTAGAGATGATTGTTAAATTCCATATGGAAATTGAAGAGATGTCCTAATTGTCAAGCTTTGATGAAGCTTTCTGCTTTGAACACATCATTGCTCACCTTCTCAGAACCTCACATTGTGGACATTTTCCTCTTGTGGATGCTTTTCTTAATATTTTCTGTTCTAATTTATCCTCTAAGTAATTTTTGAGTGGTCAAAGGTCTAGTTACAATAACTAGATGCCTCTGGCTCTTGAGTCTCTCACAGGGCTGCAGTTCAGCTCTCAGCCTAAAGGCTGATTGAAGCTACAGTGAGCCTAATGTCAAGCTCACTGGATTTGTTCTTTGTTGGTCTTTATATATAAAATATTTATATATACTCTACTGATTGTTCATTTAATTATTTGAATGAGGATTAGTATTAAGAATAGCTCATCTCTCATATATGCTCTTCGCTCCTAACATGTTATCCACCCACTAATCCTTTGGTGACTACTGTTTATCTGCTGTCTATTCACATGCTTCTTTCTGAATATATTGATATACTCCATTAAGACACTCCCAGGAAGTAGATCAGACATTTGGAAATTCTGTCTTATGCAACCATTTCCTTTTCTCTTTCCCTTACTGTAGCATAGGACATGCTCCTTTGCTCACAGGACACTTCAGATGTGAAAAATGTAACCACACACATTCAGGTGTGAATCCAAAGCCACACATCCTTAGTTACAACAGACTGGGTAAGTCCAATAGGATAACCTAGTACTGCAGTGGTCTGCAGTGGTCACTAAAGGCCACCAGGTGGCAGCACATCAGCATTTTTTAGAGCATTGATAAATACCAGCTGCTTATTTTGGTCACAAGGGAGTGAAATTCATTAAGCCAGCTTTCTTTTAAAACTAATGTCTTAGACAAATGACTAGGTCAATGAAATTTATATATAAACATGTTTACATCTATATATTATATATTTATATATAACACAATAACATATTTATAAATATTCATATATAGTTACATACATATAACGACACAATCCAAACTACCGTTAATAAAATAAAAGCTGAGCTTCCAACAAGTCTATTATGTCTCTCTCAGTATCTGGCACAAGGGTATTTTTCCATAACTACATATTTGTTACTACAGTATTGTCCAGATATTATACTAGATGGAGACTTCTTTATAAACCAACCTCGCCTAGATAGACTGTTGAAGAATCCTGACTACCACTTGTGTCTTTTCAAAAAAAACGTTTAAAAATGATGATTTTCTGCACGCGGTGGTGTAGCCATCAGAGTAGAGGAGTGCCCCTGCACTCCACGGACTGTTCTTTCCGTTTAAACGAGGCAGCATTCTACAGACAGAGGCACACAAACTAGGGATGTCACCTTGGGCCACTAGTGGAAAGATTGTTCCAAGCTTTGTTCCTTTGGCACACTGAAGGGTGAGCACACTGCTACTGGCCTCCCAAAAGGACAAGAGCGAGAGAGGACAGAACCAGCGTGCAGAATGACCAATGAGAAGAACGGGTCCCATCAAGGTCAAATGAAGCAAAATCATTAAAATGAATAAGTCAGGGAAAAGTCAAAGGAATAATGTGGGCCAGGTCTTGTGTTTTTGTCATTTACTACTGTGCAACACATTACCTGATTTGGGGTAAACCATATAACAAACTTAATAATAGTTGCTAATAGACAACAAACATACCCAACAGTTCTTTGGTCACGGGTCTAGGGACAATTACTGGATGCCTCTGGCTGGTGCATCTCTCATGGGGTTACAGTTCAGCTCTCAGCCTGAAGGACGTCTGAGGCTAAAGGAAATCTAATGTCAAGCTCACTGAATTGGTCTTTTGCTCGTCTTCGTCCCTCCCGACACAGGCCTCCCTATAGGACCGCCATGATGAACCTTTATCCCTCTGGAACCACAAGCCAAAACGAGTTTCCTTTTAAAAGTGGGTTCTGAGTTTTGAGCTACAGAGGGCACATTGTCCATTTACCTCCTTGTTCTCCAGTGTCCTCACAAAACAACAGTGCTCTACTTAAATGTGTGTATACACAACAATAAATGGAACCAGTGAAGGGCTTTCACTGGTCTACTCCCGGGAAGGTAGACTAAACAAAAGTGATAACCAAATACACCTAAAAGAGGAGCCCGGGGCAGCAGCCAAGGGCACTGGGATTGTACAGCTGTGAAAGGGGCCAGGGGAGTCCAGAGCCAAGAGAATAGAGAGACAATGAAAAAGCATGTGCTAATTAAAAGAATTCATTGAAAGCTTATGCTAAACATTTGGTGTCCCCTTTCTTAAAACAAAATGAAGCTAGCTGGGGGGAATATGTGAGGACTTCTTTTTCCCTAAAAACCTCTGGTAAGCATTCTGAAGTTGGAGGGGGTGGAGCTTAACCACTCCAAATTAAAGTACCCAAGTAATAAGGCTTGCTTCCAATTAACTCCCCCCCCCAACACACACACACCATGAAGCGTTATTACAATCCATTTTTTCAATGTTAGAATTTTTTACAATATATATGTATATGTACCCTATGACTCTCTTACCCTTCTCCCCTCTTGTTGACCCCCTTCCACAGTGGTCCCCCTCCCTCTTTCTGCCGTATTATTTAGTTCAAATCCTGTGCAAGATGTCAAAGCTACTGTTTTCATGATTGCAACAGGCATGGCATTTCCAGAAAATAGTATTTGAAAGCACTCCTCCCTGTCCTCTGGATCTTACAATCGCTTCTCTTTATCTTCCAAGAATTCTTGGGACTTTGACCAGGGCAGGTTCTCAATGGTCACTATTCTCAGCACTCTGACCAGTTAACAGTCTCCACATTGACTGGTGCCTGCTATAGAATCCTCTGACCAAGGCTGAGAGAAGTGTCACTATGTGGGTATAAACAAAAAAAAATATTTAGAAGACAGTTTGATGACATGTCTACTTAGGAACACATCAGGGTTGATGATTCCCCATAGGATCTGTGACGTCCTTCACCATAGGCATTTCACAGGCAGTACTAGGCATGTATTTCTTCCTTTGGATGAGGCTTCAAATCCAATAAAAGCAGTTGGTCACACCCTGTACCAGACAGTCCTGCCATTATTTCACCTATGGGAATATCTTGCCTGATAGATCAGTTTTGTAGTGTGCAGAGTCCATAGCCAGGTAAAATATTAGTAAACTTTTTTCCCTCCAGCACCTTGTATAAAGACTTCCAACATTATGAATGCTAGCCAGCAGGAAAGAAGATTCCAATTCTGTCCTAATTTGATTTACCTGTATCTGCAACTAAAGCATGCAGTATCCTCTGCAAGAGATACCAGCTACATCCCAGTTACTATTACAGTCTTAAGTACTTGAGTACATAATCAAAAGCTACCTGATATTTGAGAAAATGCTATAACTAAAAGAGACAAGTTAAAGTAAATCATGAGAAAAACTTTCTATCCAAATATGTCTTTCAAAGTCAAGATGAGAATTATTCGCCCCCCCCCAAAGGTGGACAGGACAGGGTTGCATATTTTTAAAAGAAACATAAATAAATAAAATGAGCATGGCTCTGAAGTAAACTATTTTACTTAGTCACAGACCATATTTTAATTTTAAACGTTAATACTAAACACTAAAACACATAAATGGGTTGCCGAACATAATATAAATGCTATGAGCTCAACAACGTAAAACAGAGATGCAGTATTCACACAGAAACTGGTCTGCAAGACTTCATTGCAGGAAAATTCAAAATAGCTAAGTAGAAGCAACCCAAAAGCTATCGATTGATGAATGGACAAACAAGATGTGACATGGTCATACAATGACATATCACTCAGCCAAAGCATCATACCAGCCAGAAACACCATCGGGTATAATCTCCTTATGTAAATGGCACAATGGGGAAATCTTTATACAGAAAGTTGATGTGTGGGTGCCAGAGCCAATAAGGAATGGGCACCTCTGATTTCATACAAAGGATAACTATCTACTTGAAAACACTGTGGAAATAGACACTGATGATGATTGCAAAGCACTGCAAGTGAATTTCATGCTACTAAATTATATACTTGACAATGATTAAAATGGCAAGTCTTACATATATATTTTCCTATAATAAAAATTGAAAGAGTATAGTTAATAGAAGGAGGATATTAGAAGTAGCAGGGAGAAGTTGAGGAGAAATAAGAGCCCTCTAAACATTTGTCATAAAATAGATGATCAACACAATATCTTTATCACATGTATCAGGGAATAAAATCATGAGCAGTAGAGACAACTCAGTGGGTGAAATAAGCTTGCCTTCAACCTTAATGACCTGAGTTTCATTTGCAGGACCCTCATGGTAGAAAGATAGAACCAGGTCCTACAAGTTGTTTTCTATCTTCCACGCAGCCCCCCCCCCACACACACAGGGTAAAATTTATTTAAAAAGAAAGGAAGGAATGACTCTATCTTTGGGGGATGAATGACCATCTCATGAGATTCATTTAAGACCATCGGAAAATACAGATGTGTACATTACAATTCATAACAGTAACAAAATTAGTTATGAAGTAGCAACAGAAATCACTTTAGAGTTGTTTATAGTTGGGGGTCATGACCCACAGGTTGAAAAGCACTGCTAAGTGGTGCCCTCCTACTTAAGAAGACCCAATAAAAACTTTCAATGTTGACTATTCAACTCTAATGCATTTTCTCCTTTGATTTCCAATTAGCCAAGTATCAATGCTCCATGTTTAGGTGTCCTGGCAGCAGAGCTCTTACTCTTGTGTGCCCACGAAGATCCCTTAATCATACAACAAGCATCCTCAGGCATAAATTATGTCCTCTACATTGCAATGTGTCAGAACTGTAAGTACAGCTTACCAACTTTTTCTGTTGCTCTAATGATTTGTCTTTTGAAGAAGCTGCTATGCCTAGGATTTATTTGTAAATCCTTCCCCAAGATCTGTGTTCTTACTTTCTAAAATACAGTTTTAAGCATTACTCAACCATTATCAAGGGTTTTTTGTAACTAAATAGCTGGTACTTCAAGATCTTTGCAGCTTCGAGGTATATTTACATTTCTTGGGTTAGTGTTGGTCATAATGGTAGGGAAAAGGATGGCTGATGAAGTCAGGAAGAGAGAGGAAGGAGAAGTTTTATAAATGAAGGATTTTGAAGAGGCATGTCCTTACCCCCCAATGGCTGTTACAAAGATTCAAGGAGCTAGCAAAAGCCATATTGGGTGCCCAAACACCTATGAGCCAGAATTTAAGATCTCATTACTCACAAGTCATTCAGAATTGTTTTGTCTTATTAGGAAGAAAAACTCTCCTTAGCCTATGCTATTTGTCATTTAAGATGCTAAAAGACAAGCAATAGGGGAAGTTAGTTCCAAATACTTTAGCTGTTCACCAGAACAAACTTGAAGCCTGCTTCTAATAATAAAAAACATTCCAGTATTCAGCAAGGTAAATTAAAGAATGTCTGGTGTAAGGAGTATGGTTTTTCCGCCCGCCGCTTGGTCTTGTCCAGCCGCTGCGCCAGCCCCAAATAACACACTGAGACTCTGTATTTGATATAATTCTGTTGGCCAGTTACTTGTTTCTTATTGGCTAGCTCTGTCTTAAGTATTAACCCATATTTATGTATTTCCACGTGGTCTTACCAGCGAGAGACGGCTGGCGGTTCTGCCTTCTCCAGACTCTCCATCTTGACTCCCTTCCTACTTCCTCTTTTCTCCTCGTCCCCTAGTCCCTCCTATCTCCTTTCCTATTGGCCAACAGTGCTTTATTCATTAACCAGTATGAGAAACATAAATACAGAATGACATCTCCCATCATCTCCTCTCTTCTGTCTAAATAAAAAGAAGGGTTTTAACCTTAACATAGCAAAATATATAACACAAGAGATATCCAATAAGAACCACAGTTAACAATATTTAGTCCATTAACATTTAGTAAGATTTAAGAAAATATTCCATCATCTATCCTATCTTTGTGAGTCTAAAGTCCTATATGTAACTTATCCTAACTAAGAAAAACTATAACCATAACTATCTGTCTTCAACTCCCTCAAAGACCACAGAAGGATAATATATAAACCCTAGAAATGTAAGAGACATCTTGCCTTTTCAGTCACCTGAAGTTCTTCTGTAATCTTCCATCTTCAGCCCATAGGCCATAGTGTGTCTGGCAGACTCTTCAGCAAAGTAGGAAACTTTAAACTGTCTTCTTGTATTGGCAGTTTGTCAGTCACTTTTCTCTGTGTCCTGCAGACTGTCTGGCAGACTCTTCCATGAAGCAGGAACTCTGTAGCAATGTCCATCTTGAATTAGCAGTCACTTTTCTGTGGGTCCTGCACGTCCAGTTTATACATCACAAAGTCAAACAGTCCAGACAAGAGCAGTATCTTGTCCAAATGGCTAGTCTTGCCATATTGAAAGCAAACTCCATAACGTGTTTCTTCAAGGTCCATCTTCCTTTCTGATGCAGGTGGTGTTGCCAGGAGCAGTTATGTCTCACTGTCACGAAAACCCTAAACCATTTTAAATGCCATATTCTGTAGGTCTTTGAAAGGTTTGAAGAATGCCTATCCATCTCAAATACATGTCTGTATATCTAGAAATCTTAACTAACTTAACTATAATATCTGACTATCATAGGTACTATCTATAATCTGCATTGAATTATACATTACATTTCTAAATGAGCTATATAAACACAATACCTAAACAAAAGAAATATACACATCATAAGATTGACCTTAACTTGTATCAATAAATGAAAATCCATTCCAAAACAAAGTATTCATATCTATACCATAATCCCCTTTTTACCTTTAAAAAGATTTGGCTGTGATCATTAACCATTTATAACCAACCCCATTTAAATGAAAACAAACATTTATAAACACTATTTGGGAATTTGGGCGTCGTTCTTTCCAAACTACTTCCTGTTGGTAGGGGGCACTGTTATGGGGGATCCTAAGAAGACACAGAAATCCTGGCTGTAGTCTGCAAGGCTGCTTTGTTCAGCTGTTTTGAATGTAGGATCACCTGGTCCTCTGTTTCAGGGGGTCTGGCTTGATCAAACCACATTAGTCTGGAAGGAATCCACAGCTTTTTATTTTCTGTGGAAACAAAAATAGAAATCCTTTTCCCCAGTAACTTGTCCTTAAACTTAAATTTTGGAGTCAAAGCAATATATAAATTGAATTAATTTAGCAGCATTTGTTTCCTCAGCAGTCAAACAATGCAAAGACAATATAATACCATACAGTATCCAGATTCTCTCTGAGCTTTTCATCTTTACGTGGCTTTATTATTACTCTGTTTCTTTTACTTTTTATTTTTTATTTTTTGAGACAGGGTTTCTCTGTGTAACTCTTATCTGTCCTGGAATTCACTCTGCATTTCAGGTTTACTTGGAAATCACAAAGATCTGCTTGCCTCTATCCCCTGAGTGCTGGGATTAAAGGCATGTGCTATCACACCCAGTTCCTCTTTGTCTTTTTAAAACCATTTTATTTCTTTTCTCTCCCAAGCCTACATATATTTTAGAACATATTGTAAACCTTTAGAGGTTTTCTTAATGTGAATTTGTCTTTACTGTAAATCTTTATCTTTTTCTGGCCACGAGTCTTCTATCTGGTAAACAACAACATTGCTAAAATAAAAATCATAGCTGTGTCAGCTGCTGTTTATCAAAGATGGTGGCAGGTACTTTTACCGCCAGCACTGAAAGCTGTGCTCACCGCCTTGGTCTGTGCTGCTATCCAGAAAGCATGCTGTCGGCTTGGAGATGTGGTCACTGCCATTGCCATCTCTCATACACACCAATAAATTGTTAGCAGAGTTATTTAAAAGCTGTGCGGTTTTTTGCTGCTTATGCTGAGTCAGGAAATTTCCCTTAAAGGAGCTGCGCAAATATCTGCTTGTCTCTCACAAAGTAGAGTCCAACTGAGAAAAATGCTGCTATCAAGAAACCTTGCTTGTCTCTGTTCTTTTGTTTCTAAAACCTTTTTTAAAGCTTTTGTTAAATTTTAAAGTGGAAATTCTTATTAGCCACGTGGGTGCCATAAATAAGGAGTATGATTTTTCCACCAGCAGCTTGGTCTTGTCCCGCCGCCGCACCAGCCCCAAATAACACACTGAGACTCTGTATTTGATATAATTCTGTTGGCCAGTTACTTGTTTCTTATCGGCTAGCTCTGTCTTAATTATTAACCCATTTCTATGTATTTCCACGTGGTCTTACCGAGAGCGGAGGAATGGCAGTTCTGCTTTCTCCAGACTCTCCATCTTGACCCCTCCTTACTACTTCCTCTTTCCTCCTTGTCTCCTAGTCCCTCCTATCTTCCTTTCCTATTGGCCAACAGTGCTTTATTCATTAACCAGTATGAGAAACATATACATATATACATATATGCATACACACACACACACACACACACACACACACACAATGGCATCTCCCATCAGGATCTGGACTTTAAACATCATGACCTAGCTGATATTTATACAATCCTGTGTCAACAACAGAAAAATAAGCCATGACATATATTTAAACTAAATAAATAAATAAGTAATTTTCTGACAAAATGGTCCTAAATAAGAAATCAAAATGACAAATATCTGAAGCCCCAAAAGATTTGGAATCAAAACTAACATGCTCCTAAATAGCAGTTCAATTAAAAAAGATACAAGAAATATAGTTTGAACTGAATGAAAGTGAAATCTCTAATGTGTCCAAATGTGTGGCCTACACATAGAGAGAAAATTCATAGGTTGATATACCTATCTTAGAATGGAGGAAAGGTCTCAGTCCTGAGCAGTCTTCATCTCACAAAACTAGAAAAAGAAGAACAAATAAAGCTGAAGCAAACAGGGAAGGGAGAAAACAAAGATAAAAAGGAAATAAAGGGCATCAGAAAACAGGAAAAAAGTAAAGACAGAGGAATGGCCTGTTCATTGTGATGGTCATGGGGACAAATGTAGTGAGATATTCATGCCCCCCACACACACACGGCACCTGAAGTGCTGACCAAGCCCAAAGGGCATAGTTACGGGTACAGATGTTACTGAGGGTAGAATTAAGTCTAGGGCTGGACTGAGCTTGCTGTCTTGGTTCTAGTCCAGTTGCAGAGATCAGCCTATGTGGGCCCTTGGAGCGGGAACTTGCCCGGGTCATCTGTTTGTTGTGTAAGTGCCTTCTCCCTGAATACAATTTTATTAACCTATATTGAGCCTAGTCCAGTGAATCTTGATCCGCGCGTCCATAGACAAACAAATAGAAAACTCAAATTCTCAGTGTTAAACACGGCCTCACTTAAGTACTTGGTACATTCTGGACCCATGCTGCCTTAAGCTTTTATGAGAATAGTAAGCTTTTGTAAGAGTAGGCCACGAGCAGAGTGTTAAGTACCTAGAGTATTGCAGACATCTAAATTGGGTAGGAAACTCTGAGTAACAACACTTTATGTTAAAACGGTAGTCAGATGAAAACTTTCTATCCTTTTTCTTTTTTTTTTTTTAAGTTATATGAACTTTATTGACTTTTTCAATTACACTTAATCTTTTTTTATTTAATTTATTATTTTACATGTCGATCCCTCCCTCCCTCCTTCCCTCCCTTTTACCCTCTCTGCCCTCTCACATGCACTCTAACCACCCTCCCCTCCCATCCCCCCACCCCAATTCCATATGTAGGGCAATGCCAACCACTAGAGGTCATCTAGATCTGACAGGTCATTTGAAGTAGGGACTAGGGCTTCTCTCCTGTCTCTAGGTTAAGGCAGTATCCCTCCATGGGGGATGTGTTCGCAAGGTCCTTTGTGCACCAGGGACACATCCTGGTTCCACTGTCTGAGGTCCCTTAGACTGGTCAGTCCTTCTGGCTGAGACCCATATTCAGGGGGACCTGGGTCAGTCAGTCCCATGCTGGCTTCCCAGCTATCAGTCTGGGAGCCCGTTAGCTCCTCCTCATTCAGGTCAGCTATCTCTATGTGTTTCTACAGCCTGGACTTGTCCTCTCCATCTGCATCTGGGTTTTAGTTCGACTCAGTGTTTAGGTATGGGTGTTTGCTTCTGTTTCCAACAGGTATTAGATGAGGGCTCCATGGATAAGTTAGTTGTTGATTTCACTCTCCCGGAAGGGCATTTATGGTAGCCTTTCCATGGATACTCCAATTGTTCGTTGGCAGCAGTATTGTAGGTCTCTAGACCTTTCTTTGGGTTCCATTTTCTTTTCAAACCAATATTGGCTCCCTCTTTTATGCTCTCTCTCTCTCTCTCTCTCTCTCTCTCTCTCTCTCTCTCTCTCTCTCTCTCTCTCTCTCTCCTGTCTTCTGTTCCTACCTGGACTCAATCTTCCTGGTCGCCCATGTTTTCCTCTCCTCCACCTCTCTTTCTCCTATTCTCTCTCCATTCACTGCCTCCCCCCCCCCACGTCCCCTGTGCTCTGGGGGACTTGTCCCTTCCCAGTTCTGTGAGGGACTTTATATGAATCTCTTAGAATACACCTTGTATCCTAGTTCCTCTGGTGGTGTGAATTATAGGCTGGTGATCATTTGATCTAGGTCTAAAATCCATATATGAGTGAGTACATACTATGTTCCTCTTTTTGTGACTGGGTTACCTCACTCAGGATGGTTTCTTCAAGTGTCATCCACTTGCCTGCGAATTTTCAAGATACTATTATTTTTTTCTGCAGAGTAATATTCCATTATGTAGATGTGCCACATCTTCATTATCCATTCTTCAATTGAGGGGCATCTAGGTTGCTTCCAGGTTCTTGCTATTACAAATAGTGCTGCTATGAACATTGTTGAACAGATGTCTTTGTTGCATAGATGTGGATCCTTTGGGTATATGCCTAGGAGGGGGATTGCTGGGTCCTGTGGTAAACTAATTCCCATTTTCCTATGGAACCGCCATACTGATCTCCAAAATGGCTGTATGAGTTTGCCCTCACACCAGCAGTGGAGGAGTATTCCCCTTTCTTCACATCCTCTCCAGCATGAGTCATCATTGGTGTTTCTAATTTTAGCCATTTTGGCAGGAGTAAGATGGTATCTCAGAGTTGCTTTGATTTGCATTTCCCTGATAGCTAAGGATGTTGAGCACGTTCTTAAGTGTCTTTCAGCCTTTTCAATTTCCTCTACTGAGAATTCTTTCTTCAGTTCTATACCCATTTTTTAATAGGGTTATTTGGTGTTGTGTTGACTAGTTGCTTGAGTTCTTTGTATATTTTGGGTATCAGCCCTTTGTCGGATATAAAACTGGTGAAAATCTTTTCCCAGTCTGTGGGCTGCCGTTTGGTCTTGTCGACTGTGTCCTTTGCCTTACAGAAGCTTCTAAGTTTGAAGAGGACCCATTTATTAATTGTTTCTCTCAGTGTCTGTGCCCCTGGAGTTATGTTTAAGAAGCGGTCTCCTATACCAATTTGTTGTAGGGTACCTCCTACTTTCTCTTCTAAGAGGTTCAATGTAGCTGGATTGATGTTGAGGTCTTTGATCCATTTGGACTTGAGTTTTGTGCATGGCAACAGACATGGGTCTATCTTCAGTCTTCTACACACCCTCATCCAATAGTGCCAGCACCATTTGTTGAAGATGCTGTCCTTGCCCCATTGTATAATTTTAGCTGTTTTGTCAAAAATCAGGTGTTCATAGGTGTGTGGGTTAGTATCAGGATTTTCAATTCGATTCCATTGGTTTACCTGTCTATTTTTGTGCCAATACCAGGCTGTTTTCAGAATTATAGCTCTGTAGTAGAGCTTAAAGTCAGGAATGGTGATGCCTCCTGAAGTCGTTTAATGTATAGAGTTGTTTTGGCTATCCTGGGTCTTTTGTTTTTCCATATAAAGTTGATTATTATCCTTTCAAGGTCAGTGAAGAATTGTGGTGGGATTTTAATGGGGATTGCATTGAATCTGTAGATTGCTTTTGGCAAGATTGCCATTTTTACTATGTTTATCCTACCTATCCAAGAGCATGGGAAATCTTTCCATTTTCTGGTATCTTCTTTAATTTCTTTCTTTAAAGTCACAAAGTTCTTATTATATAGGTCTTTTACTTGTTTGGTAAGCATTACCCCAAGATACTTTATGTTGATTGTGACTATTGTAAAGGGTGATGTTTCTATGATTTCTTTCTCTGCCTCTTTGTCATCTGAAAAAAAGTAGGGCTACTGATTTTTTTGAGTTTATTTTGTATCCTTCTAGTTTGCTGAAGGTGTTTATCAGCTGTAGGAGTTCCCTGGTAGAGTTTATTGGGTTGCTTATGTAAACTATCATATCATCTGCAAATAGAAACAGTTTGACTTCTTCCTTTCCAATTTGAATCCCCTTGATCTCCTTTTGTTGTCTTATAGCTTTAGCTAGAACTTCAAGTACGATATTGAAGCGATATGGAGAGAGAGGGCAGCCTTGTCTTGTTCCTGATTTTAGAGGAATTGACTTAAGTTTCTTTCCATTCAGTTTGATGTTGGAAGTTGGTTTGCTGTATATTGCTCTTATTATGTTTAGGTATGTTCCTGTTATCCCTGACCTCTCGAAGACCTTTATTATGAAAGGGTGTTGAATTTTGTCGAAGGCTTTTTCAGCATCTGGGGAAATAATCATATGGTTTTTCTTTTTCTGTTTGTTTATATGGTGGATCACATTGATAGATTTTCGTATGTTAAACCATCCCTGCAATCCAGGGATGAAACCTACTTGGTCATGGTGGATGATTTCTCTGATGTATTCTTGAATTCGGTTTGCCAGTATTTTATTGAATATTTTTGCATCGATGTTCATCAGGTATATTGGTCTGTAGTTTTCTTTCTTAGTTGTGTCTTTGTGAGACTTGGGTACCAAGGTTATTGTGGCCTTGTAAAAAGAGTTTGGCAATGAACCTTATGTTTCTATTTTGTAGAACAATTTGAGGAGTATTGGTATTAGTTCTTCCTTGAATGTCTGGTAGAATTCTGTGCTGAATCCATCTGGCCCTGAACTTTTTTTGCTTGGAAGGCTTTCGATGACTGCTTCTATGTCATTGTGGGTTATAGGTCTATTTAAGTTGTTTGTCTGTTCTTGATTTAATTTTTGTAAGTGATAGTTATCCAGAAATTTGTTCATTTCCTTTGAATTTTCAATTTTTGTGGAATACAGATTTTCAAATATGACCTGAAAATTGTCTGGATTTCCTCTGTGTCTGTTGTTATGTTCCCCTTTTCACTTCTGATTTTCTTAATTTGCATGTTCTCTCTCTGCTTTTCCGTTAGTTTTGATAAAGGTTTGTCTATCTTGTTGATTTTCTCAAAAAATCAACCCTTTGTTGCATTGATTTTTTGTATTGTTTTCCTGGTTTCTATGTTGTGGGTTTCAGACCTCAAGTTGATTATTTCCTGGCTTCTACTCCTATGGGGTGAGTTCACTTCTCTCTGTTCTAAGGCTTTCAGTTGTGCTGTTAATTCTCTTATGTGACTATCCTCTGTTTTCTTCATATGGGCACTTAGTGCAATGAACTTCCCTGGTAGCACTGCTTTCAAGGTGTCCCATAAGTTCGGGTATGTTGTGTCCTCATTCTCGTTGAATATTAGAAAGTCTTTAATTTCTTTCTTTACTTCTTCTTTGACCCAGGTGTGGTGTAATTGCACATTGTTCAGTTTCCATGAGTTTGCAGGTTTTCTGCTATTTGTGTTGTTGTTGAATTCCAATTTTAAAGCATGGTGATCTGATAAGATACGGGGGACTACTCCAATTCTCTTGTATCTGTTGAAGTTTGTTATGCCACCTAGTATGGGGTTGATTTTAGAGAAGGTTCCATGTTGAGCAGAGAAGAAAGTATATTCTTTTGTGTTTGAGACACTGAATCTTTGTATTTAAGAAGTCTAATTGTTGCCCAGTACACCAAGGAAGGCATTTCCACACATCACAAAAACATCAATAATATGATTTTCCTTTATAAAGAATAGCAGCCTGAAAGACCGTGACTATTGTGGAGGTGGCTGCAGAGGCTGGCTGTCAAATACCAGTGAATTGGCCACTTTATACTACAGTCTAAAAATAAATGTTGATAGGCAATCTTCCCAAGGAACCATCTATGATTACCTGTCCATCTGATTACATTTGTATCCTTACCATCAGGGGAAGCATATATTGCAACTAAAAGAATGGAATTAAGTTATTGTTGACTATCTTTTCCATATTAAGTAAAATGTCATTGAAAGAATTCCCCTTTGTTAAGAATGAATCATAAGCTTTTCTTTTTCTTAACACAGCTAATGCTAAAAAACAGAAACCCAGCAGGCCAAGTGACGGAGAAACCAATAACCCCAGGGTGATAAGTTCTGACTTTGAATTACTATCCAAGGCCACACAAGGAGGCAAAAACAAAATTGCCCAGGTATATTCTGTGTAGTTTGTTTTAAATGCTTCATTGTCTTTAGTGATAATTTATTTCCTCAAAGTTGATGTTTTTAATAACTTAAGATTCCTTTTCTTTATTCAAAAAGACAAATGACTATTTGATTCACAGAACATTGGGTTTCCTACATTTATGCCACTTAAATAATTACGTCTACTACATGTCAATTATATAGATGTTTCCTAGTAATACTTCTATATGTGGATAATTTTCAAATTTTTTGACAAAATTAGTGGAGTCAATAATTAAATCTTTTCTAGAATGTGATAATTCCCCCCACAAATATCAGAATAACATTGTAACTTTGATTTTACTTTAAAAAAAACTATGAAGTTTTACAAAAAGAGCTGGGCATAGTTATTTATGCCTATAATTCTAGTACTCAGGAAGCTGAAATGTTGGAATAGCAAGTTCGAAGCCAGCCTGACTTGCATAGAGATACCATCTTAAGAGGGGGTAGGAACTATTTACATGATGTGCTAAGTCTTAGCATTAAGCAAATAATTTTACCCTATCCTAATCCTAATGAAACCATTAAGATTTATAACTCTATATTACTCTTTCATTCTTCACAGTTCATACTTTTTACCTAGAACCTTATGGGCTCCCCAGCACTTGGCCTAGGTTGGTCTGTCAAGTGGATTAGCTTTCCGACAAACATGCTGAGCCATACACCCCAGCATAAATTCTGGGAAGGACTCTCAGGTTAGCTTTCTCCTAGGATAAGAATACCTAGGGTATTCTTCCTTCCAGACTTTAAATATACAGTTGTGGTTCTAGTCTCGTGGCTGACATGGTTATAATTGTGGAAGGCTAAGGACATGCCAAAGCAATGTATTTAAATGATATATATGGTCAAAGGATACCATACAGGTGTTTTCACTGTATGTCTCTTTACAAAGACAAGAGTTTTTTTGTTTGTTTGTTTGTTTGCTTGTTTTGTTTTGTATATGTAACTTCAAAACTTGCAAGGTTGGTTGAGTATGATGAATATGTCCATTTCCATAAGGAAACTGGGAATCTATATAAGCTTGTGAGCAAACCAAGGGTCATATCTCTCAGCACCTTGATTGGGCTCTTGAGCCTGGGATGAGCATCCTTCTTGGGGCTCTTCCCCAATGGCTCTCAAGACTTACTATCAACACATCCGGGTTTGAATCCTCCATCATTTGAGTTTAGTTGTGTTTAGAAATACTTGGACTGGAGTGCCTTAGACCCATGTGTTTAGGATCTGTTATTTAGTTTCTTGTTGTTAAAGCACAGAAAGTTCAGAGTTACAGAACATGGAAGAGCAATGACTAGACAACACAGATGTAAAACTCCAGAGTAGATAAAATAGGGTTGAGAGAGTTCAAGGTTCTAACAAGAACACCAACATGTTGGAAGAATCCAAAGCTGTACCAAGACACTCAAGAGACCACAGCAAAGTTCAAGGGATGCAAGCATCAAAGTTGTTCTCTAGGGGAGTCAGGTACAAAGCAGCACTGAAGTACAAAGACTGTGCTCAACACAAAGAGTTTTTAGTCCCCACTCCTCTTTTATATAGGAACTTCCCTGGCCAGTGGGGTCAGTCGACGGGGACCCTGAGGGAAGGGAGTGAGAATTAACAGACAAGAGATGTGAGAGATGAAGACAATACAGTATTCTGATCAAGTCTCATTTAATGAATATAATAACAGGGTTTAAGTAGTGGAGAAATGAGGGAATGACCAAAGGGAGGATGTGAGGGAGGCAGAATGCCCTTCCAAGCAGAATCCAGGAGTCCTGCTATGAGATAAGTTGCTATATGATAAGCCTGCAGCTGGGACTCTTTCAGGGTCAGGCTGCATCATATGCTTAACAGGAGAACAGTCATAGGGGAATGGGAAATTACCAGTATGTTAGTATCTAAGAGAGTAGTAGGAAGGATGGCTGTTAGGATGCTAACTTTGCTCTGGGGTTCCCCACAAGGAACAGTTTGTGAGACAAGACTTCATAAATAACTCACAGAAGATCATGAATATATCATTCACCAAAACAAGTTCATACAATACAAACTAATAATAGAAACTAATAATTATAGAAAAAAATTCAGAATAATGTTTATAAAATGGTGTTCTTCACAGACATTTTTAAATATTTTTATTCTTTGAGAATCCCATACAGTGTATATATTCTGTTTTGTTTTTTTTTTTTTTTTTTTTTTTTTTTGAGACAGAGTTTCTCTGTAGCTTTGGAGCCTGCCCTGGAATGCTCTGTAGACCAGGCTGGCCTCAAACTCACAGAGCTCTGCCTGCCTCTGCCTCCTGAATGCTGGGATTAAAGGCCCATACAGTGTATTTTGATCAAGCTCATTCCCTCTTTTCCAACTCTTCCCAGATCTACCATCATCTCCCTATCCACTGAACCCTGTATCCTGTATGTTTTCTATTAAAAAAAACAAATTTAAAATATCAAGTGTAATTTGTTCTGTGCAAATACTCTTGAATGTTGGTCCTGCCCTGGAGTGTGGTTGACCATATTCTTAAAACTGACCTTCTCTCTCCCAGCAGCTATCAAATGTCAATAGCTCCTCAGCTAGTGATGGGACTTCCTGTTGCCACCCCCACACTCCCACACCCTCACCCCCATCCCTGCTCCATAGTGAGATTTGCAGAGGTTTTTTTGTTTTTTTGTTTGTTTGTTTTGTGGGGTTTTATTGGCTTTTTTTTGCTAGCAAGTATAACATGAAAAATACATGGCAGATTATGAAATATCAATTTACAGTATATTTTCCAGCTACCAAATCAAGTAGCATAAGGAACTTGAAACATTGCAAAGTAACAATAATAAACACACGAGGACCTCTCTAAATTACAGATGATTTTCTGTAGTTAGTGTGCTCTTGGTAGAATGTTCCCTGCCCCCATGGATGTGTTTTGTGTGGCTTGTGTGTGAGTGCGCATGTGTATTTGTGTGTACATGTGTGAGGAGAGGTGCATCAGTCCTTGTGTGATCACATGGAGTCCAAAAGTTAACAGCAGGTGCCTGACTTCATTGACTCCCTATTTTTCAGGACATTGTTTCTCACTGAATCTGGAGTGAATTGATTCAGCTAGACTAGCTGGTCAGTGGCTCCAAGGATGTACCTGTCTGTTCTAACCCAAAGCACCGAGCTCACAGATATGCATCACCAATCTCTAGATTTCATATGGCTGTTGGCTATCCAAACTCAGGTCCTCGTGCTTACTTAACCAACTCCCCAATGCCCACAAACTCTAATTTTTAATGCAACCTACGGTCATGTCCACAGCTTTACAAGACAAAATCTCTTAATACCAACTCTTGGTTTCACTGAGAACTGATCTTTCTGTAATTTTAGATGGAAATTAGAGCAAAACAAGTATTTCATGAAAAAAATGATCACTTCCAGTGGTATTTTAAAATTTATTTTTTCACAATAAATATGGCCTTCTTCAAGTAGGACAAACTGCAGCAATTCACTAACTTCTCCAAGCCACAGAGGTTCTTTGGTTTTCTTGCACAGCTTTCAAACATTATCATCCCTCAATGGTCTGCATAGTAGGTGCAGACTAGACTAGGTAGGGGTGGAAGACTGGATGCAATCCATTCTGTCTCAGATCTCAGGCACATCTTATTTGTTAAAAAAACAAATGAGCAGCCAGGTGTTGGTGGCGGACTCCTTTAATCCCAGCACTCAGGAGGCAGAGGCAGGTGGATCTCTATGAGCTCAAGGACAGCCTGGTCTACAGAGCTAGTTCCAGGTCAGACTCCAAAGCTATAGAGAAACCCTGTTTGAAAAAAAAACAAAACAAAACAAAACACCCCACATGAAACAAAAACAAATGTTTGGTCTTTCTGAACGTATGTGTACTCTATGCCTGTCTGCTGCCTATGGAGGTCAGAAGAGGGCATCCTATCCCCTGAAACAGGAGTTATGGGTAGTCGTGAGCCACTGTGGGTGCTGAGGAAAGAGCACAGTTCCTTTGCAAGAGCAGCAAGTGCTCAAAATTGCTGAGTAATCTACCTACCTTCAGTATTCTACACCTTCAAAGGCAATAAGTAAAATCTTTTATTGGTAATATTAGAGGCATTTTCCAGTTGCATGGATGATTTTATTTTCATGCAAAGGCAAAATAAGAAATTATGGCACATTTGTCCTTTCTACTCTTATCATCATTTATAGTCTGTGGATAGTTCTCAAACTTCGAACAGAACTGTTGACATAGCAAGTGTTAGATTTCATGAACTTCTGTTTTTGTTCACATTCAATTTTCCTTTCTCCCTGTATTTGTCTCTGCCTGTCTCTCTCACTGAAAAAAAAAATGTGACATTCTCATCCTTGTTTGTCCAGTATCTTCTACCAAACACATTTGTTTCTCAGAATGTTGAAGACATCATGGTAATATTTGGCACTGAAATTGCTTTAAAGGCAGAAGATAAGTTTTGTATAATAATATCTGAGTTTTGATCATCATTACACTAACACTACCATAAATATACTTCCTATCATTTTTTTAATGGAAAAAAAATGGTTTCCACAGTTCATGAACATCTTGTACTTCTGCTTGGTCCAGACTTCCTGCCCCCAACCCCCTGCTCATCCTGAAATGTCTAAACTTTGGTGTCTTGCTCACACTGGTGGTCACAAACGTCCTTTGGTTTCAGAGCATAGGACAAATATTACCACCCCACTTGCTGACTGACTTCGTGTGGACCCTCCTGAAGAAACTTTCCTCACCTGATGTGGAAATAGCATTTGAGGCTGCATCCTTACTGAAGCTGACTTTGGAGTATCATGCTCAGAAGATCACCATGGTAACGTAGTTGGCAATGTGCTAAGAAGAACAGTGTGTGCTCTCAAAAGTCCACTCTTCAGCTTTATTATGTGTCTATTTCCTTACTTCCCTGTCTCTTCCTATTGTTCCTTGAATTACTGAGTCACTTTAATCAGACAAGGCTTTTGTGAAATGTTTCAAACAGGGAAAATTGTGGGGACTGTTATAATGAAAATTCACTTACCAATCATGTTATATTAGAATGTTTTGCCATATTTACTTTGTTGGCTTTTGAAAGAGAACTATATTAATAACAAATACTGTTGTAATTGAAATCTCCCACGTAGCATTTAGGGAATATTTTCAAGGACTCTCAGATTGGAGTGGCACTGGCTGAGGAATTTGTGCACAGCAACACAATATGAAATATATAACTATGTCTCATTCAAAATTCAAAAGGATGAAGTTTTGTTAGTTATTACTTTTACTTTATGGCCTCTCTCTCTCACACACAATTCTTTTTTATGAATATACAAATATATATATATATGTATATATATATATGTATATATATACAATTTTTTATTTGACATATAGATCCCAGTTCCCCCTCCCTCCCATGCCCCCCCCGGCCCCTCTCCCACCATATTCCCACCCTCTCCACAGGGAAGGTGATACCTTCCAGGAGGGATCATCAAAATCTGTCAAGTCATTTGGAATAGGGACTAGGCCCTCCCTCCTGCCTCTAGGTTAAGGGAGTATCCCTCCATGGGGGAATGTGCTCCAAAGTCCTTTCAATACATCCTGGTTCCACTGTCAGAGGTCCCTTAGACTGCCCAAGCCTCTACCTGAGACCCATGTTCAGGGGGTCTGAGTCAGTCTAATGCTGGTTTCCCATCTATCAGTCTGGGGGTCCATGAGCTCCCCCTTGTTCAGGTCAGCTGTCTCTGTGGGTTTCTGTAGCCTGGTCTTGACTCCTTTTCTTATCACTCCTCCCTCTCTGCAACTGGATTCCGGGAATTGGGCTCAGTGTTACCTGTGGGTGTCTACTTCTGTTTCTATCAGCTACTAGATGAGGGCTTTATGATGGCATGTAGTTAGTTATCAATCTCATTATCATGGAAGGGCATTCAAGGTAGCATTTCCACTGTTGCTCAGATTGTTAGTTGGGGTCATACTTGTAGGTCTCTGAACACTTTTCTAGAGTCAGTTTTCTCTTCAAACCTATAATGACTCCCTCTATTATGGTACCTCTTTTTTTTTTTTTTTTTCATTCTCGTCTATTTGTCCCCCAACTCAGTCTTCCTGGTCCCACATGTTCTCCTCTCCTCCCCTTCTCTTTATCCTAACTCCTCTCTACTACCCCACCATACACACACACTATCAATGTGCTCCGGAGATCTTGTTCCTTTCCCCTTCTGTGAGGGAGCTTGTATGAATCCCTTAGTTACTCTTTGTATCCTAGTTCTCTGGTGGTGTGAATTATAGACTGGTGATCCTTTGCTCTATGTCTAAAATCTATATAAGAGTGAGTACATTCCATGTTCCTCTTTTTGGGACCGGGTTACCTCACTCAGGATGGTTTCTTCAAGTTCCATCAATTTGCCTGAGAATTTAATGATTCCATTGTTTTTTCCACTGAGTAGTATTCCATTGTGTAAATTTACCACATCTTCTTTATCCATTCTTCAGTTGAGGGGCATCTAACTTGCTTCCAGGTTCTTGCTATTACAAATAATTCTTCTATGAACATAGTTGAACACATGTCTTTGTTGCATGGATGTGGATAGTTTGGGTAGGCCTAAGAGTGGAATTGCCAGGTCGTGTGGTAGACTGGTTCCCATTTTCCTGAGGAACTGCCATACTGATCTCCAAAATGGCTGTACAAGTTTACACTCCCACCAGCAGTGGAGGAGTGTTCCTCTTCACATTCTCTCCAGCATAAGCTGTCATTGGTATTTCTAATTTTAGCCATTCTGACAGGAGTAAGATGGTATCTCAGAGTTGCTTTGATTTGAATTTCCTTGATGGCTAAGAATACTGAGCACTTTCTTAAGTGTCTTTTAGACATTTTAGATTCCTCTATTGAGAATTCTCTCTTCGGTTCTGTATCCCACTTTTTAATGGAATTACCTGGTGTTTTGGTGACTAGTTTCTTGAGTTCTGTGTATATTTTGGAGATCAGCCCTCTGTCAGATGTGTGGTTGGTGAAGATATTCCAAGTCTGTCTCACACAATTCTTTGTGGTAATTTTATTTATTATTAGATGTCTAAGTGAAAAGAATATTTACTTTTTCATTATTAGCATATTTTGTTCATGTGTCAGAATTGTGAATATAAGAATAATTCACTCAAATGCAAAATCAACAGAATAATGCAATTTGTACTGTGTAGTTCATATATGAATATGCATTTTAGTTTTACCTGGGGTTACACAAAACTAACTCAACTGTTTTTATTTCACTTCTGTTATTCATACTTCTTATTAGTATTTTCTGTCTTTAATGGATTGACAAGGAAAGGTTGAAAACAATAAATGGGTTGCTGCTGTATTACTACAACAGACTATATTTAGAATTAATAATTTATACTGAATAGAGGTTCATGTCTTACAGTGTTTGGTTCTTGGAAGCCCATAGTTTTTAATCTATCAAGGACCTCCTTGCTGTATCACCCCATGGGAGAAATATGAAAGGCAAGAGAACATTTCAAGACAAAGAAGAAGCCAAACTCATTTTCTTATCAGAAACCTATCCTAACAATAATAAACCCACTCCTAGTGATAATCATACTAGTTTCAGTCCATGGCACCCTATCTTTCTCTTTCATTCTATGTCATCATTTTCTAGCTAAGTATTTGGAATTTCAGTCAGATGCCTCTGGTATCCAGCTTGTTTTCCCGTTGAACTTCTCCATATCATGACAATTCTATGCACATGAAGCACTGTGAACATTACCTGTAACTGGGGCTGCAGAAATTATGCAGGCATCACCTGTTACAAGGATTTCCTGTACTCCATTGTCCAATTGTAGTTGGATTATAAAACCCAATCTAAAAAATGGAAAACCTCAAGATGAGAAATCCAAGCTTTAGACAAGTGTGAGAGGACCTTCTCAGCATGGATCCCCATAAAGATCATTAGGCCACAGATCCAGTAATACAGTCCTGATGGTGATAGAGACATCGGGACTCCCAGTTCCCTCTCCTGACACAACCATGCACAATGAAAGAAGGTAGACTGAGGAGTCATTCAAATTCAGACAGCAGGCAAGATAAAGTACCACCTCATAGAAAGTTCTTAGTGTTGCTGAGAGCAGGAGCATACTACAGGCCAAACACAACCTGAGGGAAATGGAAGGTCCATGGTCATCTGCCTAAACAAAAGAGTTCTCCAACAGAATAGGAAAGAGTACTCAGAAAGCCTAGAAGAAGCCATAGCACATCACCAGAGGCAGGCAGGAAGGTAAAAAAGAAAGCTGGAGGTGTCAAACGAGCTTCTACTACAGAAAGTCACTAACCAAAGATAAACTGAACAGAAATACGATTCAGCAATTTATCTTCTCAATACAGCTACCATTTTAAAGCTATTTCCTCCGATGTCCATAAATAGATGATTTTACTCCTGCCCTTAAATACTTTGCATTGTAATAATACAAATATACTTTCTTCAATGGCTTATTTATATGCTAATTGCTACATTGGTCATCCCAATAAAGGTTGAATCCCTATAACTGAGAAATGGTTGGGCTTAAAGGGGAACATGGAACATGACACTTTTTTTTGAACTATGAAATTCTTCTTCCAGGTGTCTAAAATTGTGGATGACATTTATGAGCAGCTCTCTCTGGATTCTTCCCATGCCATGAAGGCTGACTTGTTGCAGGTCATTAGCCTGCTGACAAGAGCCTCTCCTAAGAAGGTTATCTTTCAGCTCATGGAGTTCGCAGTCCCTGCAGACGAGTAAGGCCTTCTGCATTTTGCCTCTCTTTATACACTTGCAATAAGCTCCACAGGCATATGGTCCAAGCTCAAGTCTTCCTTTGTTGTAGTCAGGTCTGATTTCTTTTTCTAAAAAGAAATTCATGGGGTTTTTTGTTTGTTGTTTCTTTTTTTTCATCACCTATGCTGGCTGTAAGATTTAGGTATAATCATGTTATGTGTAACTTTGTGTAATGCTTAGCAAACAGAAGGGACCTCAAGACTTTATCACCATGGACAAGGAGTGTTAAATTATGTGGTCTGTTACACATCTTACCAAAGCAAATTGCTTCAAAAAGAAAATGACCTTTTTTTTTTTTTTGTCCCTTGTTAATGTATTCATTGCTTTCCTTGAGAAAAAACTCCCAGACATAGAGATTTTCTTATTTATAAATGACAGACTTAAGCTATTTATACCCATCAATAAAATAAATAAAAAATTTAAAATACCAAAATAAGGGCCAGTGAAAGGGCTTAGCGGTTAAGTGCTACTCTTACAGAGGCCCAGAGTTAAATTCTGAGCTCTTACCCTGGGTGACTTATAACCACCTGTAACTCCAGGGGATCCAATGCCCTCTTCTGTTTTCCATAGGAACCCACGTGTGCACACATGCACAGACATCCACACACATACACATAGTAAAAACAAAAAATCACTTTTTTAGTTAATTGAGAATTTCCTGCCCATTCACTGTTCATCTAAAACTCATGACCTAGGATTCCAAGAGATCTTAACCCATTACTTTGAGTTTATGGACAAGTACAGCTTTAACAGGTGTATTAGAAGAACTTAGAAAAATCACATAGCTTTATTTCTACAGTTCATACACTGAGTGGGGAATTTCACTTCCCTTCTACTGGCTATGCAGAATTTAAAACAGCACGTGGAAAGCATTGACTCTCACGGCCTTGTATTTCTAGTGCTCTGCTACAGATGTGGCAAGCAGTGAGTACGGAGTCAAGTGTCGCATCTCCAGTTCTGAAGACAATATTGTCAATACTGAAAGGGAAACCAGGGGAGATAGAGGAAACCCTGATAGAAAGAAGACGCTTCTCCCTCGATGCTTCCAACATGATGCCTGTGGCGGTAAGCGACAATATGAGTGTTTCTACTCCCTGCTGTCTTCCTGATCAGCTGCATTGGTGAAGCCATGCCTCCTCCGCACAGTCCCCCTCTCATGCATCCATCCATCCAAAACACATTCGTTGTGTGCCACGTCTTGATGGCGAAGCATGCATTTTGCTAAAATACAGAGACAAGGAAGAAATATTTACATTCAAGATAAAAAGAAATATATAGTAGTATGTGTGAGGGAGAGTAGGTGACAGGTATGGTTTAAGGTAAGTAGGACAAGGCACAGCTTCATAATGAAATGACTTAAAATCAGAATCCCGGTCTGGTTGCACTCATATTCATCTTGGAAAGACAGCAAAACAAAAATCCTGTTGTCTTACTTAGGGTTTCTATTGCTATGAAGAGCCACCAGGATCACGGCAACTTTTATAAATGAAGACGTTTAATTGAGGAGGTGGTTTACAGTTCAGAGGTTCAGTCTATTATCATCATAATAGGGAACATGCCAGTGTACAGGCAGTTACAGTTCTGGCTATATCTTGATCAGAGGGCAACGGGGAACATACTGTGACACTGGCAGTAGCTTGAGCATAGGAGACCTCAAAGTCCATCCCCACAGTAACACACTTCCTCCAACAAAGCCACACCTAGTCCAACAAAGCCACACCTTTTAACTCACTCTTATGAGGGTTTATTACATTCAGACTGTCACAACAGTCAGAATGTGACTGATAAGGCAAGAAAGCCAAAGAATCTGAAGGAACTGCCCAAGGGCAAAACTGTACTTGACTATACAGAGATAACCACCAGCTAAATTATATAAACTTCAGTAGTCACATCAATATCTGGTATCACCTATGTCTATCACATTTCTCCCATAGACCGAAATCACCAAACCTTAGAGGAAACTGAGCGTAATATTATGAAAAGGGGTATCGTTGTTTATTAATATGAGGTGCTAGGATGTGTGTATGGATGGTAGTGGGTATTGTAGGGGTCACTATGCAGGGGTCAAATGATTCAAGGATGACTTGATGCCCTGGGGTTTTAAGGAGCCTAAGGAAGACTTTTCTTACTAGTCAGACCATTCTTCATCACAACACAGTAAGGGGACTTTGGGATATAAGCCCTCCTTGAGGATCAGTTTCCTTTCCACAAATTTGGCAGCTGGAAGGGAACCATCATCAGTGCCTTGGACTCTCATTACCAAAAAACACCTGGCCCAGTTCCTGCTTCACAGCTAACGTAGTGAGTGTGCTTGCATGAATACACATGCGTGTTGAAGGAGGCTGGGGAGGCTTGCAGCCTTTCTTGCACTCTGTGTGACTGACTGTTTGAGGGAGACAGTTGCCTTTTCATAACTCCATTTTCCTTCCATAATAGGCATCACAGGCCTTGTGCACATTTCTGCCTGTGCATTCTTACAGGAAAGTGGTGGCCAAGCTTTTCCCCGAGCTCCTGATGGCCCTCATGCTTCAACTCTTCTACTGTAGTCAGCTTCTAAAAGACACCTCACAGGACAGACCTCTGTAAGACAATCAGCTTGGAGTTGTGGGCAGATAAGTGTCTAATGACTGACTTGGGTTTATGTGGGGCTCCCTATAAGCCAATGTGAGATTCTGCTCACATGTATTCCAGTTTTCAGTCTAAGGGTAGACTTCAAAAAAGCCTTATCTTGCGTACATGGCCATTCTCTAGGATTGCCCTTCCATATTTGCACCACAGAGAGTCACTAGCACACAACACTGCTCATTGCCACTGCACCTACTGACAGCTCAATGAGAAGAGGAAGGAGCAGAAAGGACCATCAGATCCAAAGCTCAATATGTTCAAGCTCTGCCATTCCATATTCTCTGATAGTAACCTCTCAGAGTTACTATATACATAAAACAGAACAGTGTATTCAAATACTAGTTGTAATCTGAAAGTCTATCATAGTCTTATACGGATACGATGAGGGTGAGAGCAGCTGTGTGTTTCAGCACAAAGGTCACAATTCCCTTTTGGACAAGAGACAGGGAAATCTCAGTACAACTGTCAAATATTTGTTGAGTCTGGTATGAACATCTAAGCCAAACAGAGCACAACTGATCTCCTTAAAGTACTTAATCCATTCATTGTCCTTTAAAAAAAGACACACACAACCCCCCCCCCAATCAGGAGATAGGAACCTAACCTTATTTAGGACGTTCCCCCAAAGAAAATTGATAGTTCTACCGAGTCGTTACATTTCCTGGTAAGATAGTAAGCTGTTAATGTGATTCAATCTAAATTTTATGAGCTACCATTTTAACTTTTAACATCTATGCATTGCTCATCAGGGAAGATGAAGAACATTTAACAATTACTGTTTTCTGAAGTATCCTTCTCTCTAAAACTGTATCCTTCCCAAGATAGAATGGAGAGGCAAATTGTGTATACTCAGTTATGTGTAGGTCACTGTTAGAATGTCTGTTCTTCTCTGGACCTCAGCTACGTAAGAGATGGCCTAAAGGTTCTTCTGAATTGCTCTGGACTCAAAGAAGTAGATGAAGCTCTAGAGAAAAAGAATTTCTGGGACCAGTTTTCTCAAGTCATGGATCACCAGTACGGGATCCACCTCATTGCAAAGTAAGAAGAGGGGACTCTGGGTAGGGCTCTTGCTCTCCATCTTATCATCTCCACCTCTCTTCAGGTGTTTCATGAGGGAATATATTCTCAAAAGCCTCCCTAATAGTCTACATTGCAACTTGACTTCTGATTTGTTTTGAAGATCTGAAAGATTTATTCTGAGATACCCTTTCCCTTCTTTTCCTCTTACTTAATGACACAGATACCCAGCATCATTCCCCTCACCAGCACAACCTTATCCACCACCCATTGACTAATGTTCTCTTTCACATACAAAGAGCTTAAGGTAAATGTGATGTTTTCCTCTCCGATGTTAGCTGATCCCTACTCTATTTAAAAGTGCCAAATACTCTCTAGCTTTGGAGAGGTCTACCAAAGATCTGTACTCAATAAGCCAAATATATTTTGGAAAATACAATGAACATATGTTTTATAATTTTTCTGCAATAGAAATGTTTTGGTGAGGTTTTAAAGCTTGTTTTTATTTAACCCTTCTGATTAGAGGGATCAGATTTTCTGAATAACAACAACAAAAAATTAAGACTACAGGGTCTTGGTGTCATGAAAGAGACTTTGTAATTGTGATTGATTCAAAGAATACTTTTTCTGTGGCCCACAGGCTTTAGATTTTTTTCAGAACTCGTGGGCATATGCACTTTGGGAACTTAGGTTTTTAAAATGAAAACTATATTTATTTAGATTTTTTGAAATTGGCAAAAGCTAAAAGATAAAAGAAGCCATGTCAAGTGACTTTGATTATATTCAAATATATAGCATTTATTGATGAATATAAAAAGTAAATTTTATAATTTTGATTTGCTTTTCATCAACTTTGACTATATAGACATTTGGGGAAAGGTGAAGTTCTAAGAAAAATCCCACAGCTACAAGAGTTTCTACAACATGACTGTGTAGGGAAATAAATTTTTATCCTTACTGACTTTGAAAAACCATACCATTTGCAACTTCATAAACAGGTGTTTCCATAGGTAGAGATTGCAAGGAAAATATAGACAAGAGTCCACTAAAATATGGTACAATACAATACAGGTGAAGATGATTTGCAGACTCCAAGTTCTCCATAAGACTCTAAAATGAGGCCCATCACCTTTCTGGCCACCCAGTCTACAGCCACTGACACCTACACAAGCAGCATTGTACCAAAAGTTACATTAATATATTTCTTGGTAAAAATATGGTATGTTTGCACTTTATAAGTGTCACTAGTTAAGCATCACCTTGTTTTTTTAGTACTACTCAAAATGTGGTCCACAGATGAGCAGCAACATCACCTGGGAAGCAGAACTATAGTTGTGAGTTGTATGTGTTTTGAATGCACATTTAGTTTTAGCAAAATTACCTGAAGTTTGAAATGGCAGGATGTCATATAATCCTTCCATATCCTTCCTCTACCAATTGGATTTAGGATGGTTTATGAAGAAAACTCTAAACCTGGCTACCACCTAAGTGTTTCTGAAAAATGGTTTAGTGACTCAGAACTTACTGTCTCTTCTGGAGAAACCCGAAGTCATACCAAAATCAAGAGCACCATCCAAAGCCACAAAGCTGACCTTCAGTGTGTGTGGCTACCTTGGGTTGTTGTTTAGTTATATATTTCTTCTCTCTTTGATCAAGGACTGATGGATTCTTATGCAAAAATAAGGTTTCTCTCAATGTGGGAAAAATAAAAGGGAAAAGAGGTGACAATAAGGAAATAATTATTGGGGAGACACAGGCTTGTATAATTCCCCAGAGTCTATCTAGACTGTGCAGTGTTGCTGAAGTTTACCTTAGACTAGGGAAGTTTTTAGAATGACTTCTTTCTAATCTTCTTTCTAATCAATAGCGTGTAGGTAAGGACTGCCTCCTAGTCTGTACATGTTAATGCAGTCTACCTTTCTGTTGTGTTCATTTGGTGCCTTGTACTCCTTTACAGAACTCTAAGTGAATGTAACTTTCCACAGTTTCCAGAGACCCTACATTATGTCTACAAGATTGCAGTCAAAGGTCCTAGGAGATCAGAAGATAGCATCGTCACAATAATATTCTTTGCAGAAGTGAGTTTTAATAGTAGTTTGTGACCAACAGAGTTCTCCTTCCCATTCCTTGAATAAACTTAAATCAAAACTCCAGCATCTCCTCTCTCTCTGAGTTCATTCCTCATGATAATTGAAGAAAGTAAAAGATATATGAAGTCAAAGGGGGAGGCAGGGAGGAGTCCTGACTCTACTCATTAATTTATTAACTGCACTTTTATTTGTTAAAGCTTCTGAACAACTTCTTCAAGGAATCATTACCTAAGGAATTTTTGGTTCTCTTCAGAAACTGGATTAATGATTCCAATCCTTCAGTTGGCAAAATGAGCCTTCAGAAAATTGCGAGCATGGCACCAGTTTTCAGTGAAGTATGTGGTGTGTGTGTGTGTGTGTGTGTGTGTGTGTGTGTGTGTGTGTGTGTGTGTGTATGTGTGTCTGCGTGTGTGTGTATGTGAAGTATGATGTTTTTTGTGTCATGATTAGTTTTCCAATTCAAAAAAGTTTAATTAGGCCTCAATGTCTTGTAATTTCAAAATTCAAGGTGTCTTGTACAATCTTGAAACTGTAGATGCACCACAAATTATTGTTGATTCAATAATGGACCTAATAATAAATATTTGTTTATCTATTTGAGCACAATCTTCAAGTCTATTGGTTGATGCTCAATTAGAATTTTAAGAGCTGTGGGCCATCTGCTTTAAAAAAGCATACAAGTCCATAAGAAGGTTTACTTTTACATGTTGGTAAGCAAAAAGTTATTTGCTGCTTTGTCCAAAATTCTTCTCCATGTTGTTCATAACGGGGAGATTTTTATGTCAAGGTTAGAAGGACAATAATGGAGAAACAAGACAGATCTAACTTCCTAGAAAAACAAAGGTACTTTTAGGCACTGATTTAGTCCTTAATTATATAAATATATATGTATATACACATGTGTGTGTGTACCCATATATGTTTTGTTTGTTTGGTGTCTTCCATTTCTCTTTTCCTTCCCCTTCTGTTCTTTTTGGCTCTAATTTGCCTCTGGAGCTCTTTATTTCCTCTGTGTAAACATTTCATTCTCATGTTTAGAGACCACACTACCAGATAAATTGGTAAATATTTAGTAGCAACTCTCTGAAAACAAGATTAAAATTTTCTGATATGAATATTATTACCATGGCTAATTTCAAGATTTCAAATGCATGTATCAAAAACATGGAATTGGGCAGAGATGCATAATATAACTTTATTCACACACAGTTCATAACTAGATTTAATAATGTAGAAAATAAAATATACACTAGCAAAAGATTTTTAGAATTGATCACTTTTTAATACTACTTTTGATTTTATTTCATTATAAATTTATGTGATTAATTTTTAACAATGACTTTTTAAAACATTTAGTTTAAACAGTTTTAAATAGGACTTGTGAGTTGGCCCATTAAACTCAGAAGTGTACATACCAATTATCAGCCCAAGCCTCCTAGTCCTAAAGTTATACCATTTTTTTTCCTTTTATATTTAGATAGAAAGTGTCTGCCACCTGTTACTCCCAGTCTTAGATGCTTTTCTTTCCAAAGATCACACTGTTATCATCCGGGCCATGCTCACCCTCCGAAACATTTTGAGAAAACTGGACAAGGCAATCTACTCCACAGTGTGTAGCAGGATTGCTTCTAGCTACTGTCCTCTTATGGATCATGTGAGTGACATTGTGTGATTAGATGTATAAAACCGTTAGCTTTTGTGGTTCAGTTAAGCCCCAGATGGCAGGATGATCTTATATACTAAAATCAGTCAGCATAAGACAGCTATCTGTCCCTGGATAAATTCAGATTAGAGGATACATTGATTAACACTGGACCTGGGATGGATGGGTGTAAATTCATCTACTACCTTTGATATCCTGGTGAGATAGATATTTCTTCAGAGTCTTGGTGCCTCACTGTAAAACAGACACATAAGTCGGCTTCTTATATGGTTAAGAGTTTATGTGTTCATCCCACCAAGTCTTAGAGAACATCTTAGAGGAGGGTGTGGAAAGAATACAAGGTCCAGAGAACAGAGCACAGTGTTGCAAAAATGATGTCTTTTGGGCATCTTTTGGCCACTGCACCCATGAACTTACTGAAGCTGTGGCTATCCACAAAAGACAGCCACAAGAATGAAGTTGTCAACATTTCATCAGAGAGGGAAGAAGGGCCCATAAGGCTCTGCCCTTCCCAGATGGACTAATGCCAATTAGTGGTGTCTAGAGGAAAGGATGTAACCTTCATCAGTGATGTAGCCACTGATAAATTATCCATGAATAAGGAAACTCCTGCCCACACTCATGCAAGCAACCTTAATTAAACTCAGTGGTCACTATACAAATGAGGTGTGAAAGTAGAATTGCTGGGGGGGGGGAAGAAGGGCTTTGGCAAAAAAGAAGAGATATGAGAAAATGGCAGTAAGTAAAAATGACTGAAATTAATAATACACATATATGAAACTGTCAAAGAATTAAAAGAAAATTCAGTTGGAAACTTATTTGTCAAAGAATATAGGCTTACAAATTCTCTTTCACTTAAATTTTGCTTTGATATTTTCCTGTTCCAAATTACTGTACTCCATTGAAATACACTGTTTTTACTACATGACTACAATATTGACATGTGCAGTACCTCAAGTAAATGTTTGTTATTAATATATAAGACTTGGTTTTGTTTTAATTTTTTTTTTAATTTTGAGAATTTCATTCATGTAAACCAGTGGTCCCCAGCCTCCCTACTGCCGTGATCCTGTAATACAGTTTCTAACGTGGTGACCCACAACCATAAAGTTATGTTGTTGCTACTTCATAACTATAATTTTGTGGCTGTTATGAACCCTAATGTAAATATCTGATATGCAGAATATCTGATATGCTACCCTCAATGCAGTCATGACCCACAGGTGAAAAACAACTGATGTATATAATGAAATATAGTCAAATATATACCCCCATTGAACTTCCCCTATGTCCTCCCAGCAGGTCTCCCTGCCAACTTATTGCCTTATTTTAATACTCTGCTAGTCCAGTTAGTGCTACTGTATTAAAAGAATCACACTGTAAACACAGACAACACAAGGGAGGAAAGAGCAACTTAGGGGGTTCTTCTACAACCAGACTCCTACTAAGTGACTCCAGTGTCTATCTGGAAAAGTTATTTATAGCAAACACAATCCAAAAAGCTAAGTAAATAAGCATCAAAACTGACATATGACAGAACCTAAACTCTGAGCCTAAACTGGTTGTAGAATTGTTCTTCAATAGCTTAAATATATTTTATTAATTAAAAGGTAAATAGAAAAGAGAAGGACTTAGCTGGATGTTGGTGATGCATACCTTTAACCCCAGCACTTGGGAGGCAGAGGCAGGAGGATCTCTGTGAGTTCTAGGTCAGCCTGGTCTACAGAGCTAGTTCCAGGACAGGCTCCAAAGCAATACAGAGAAACCCTGTCTTGAAAAGAAAAGAGGAAGACTGACAGGACTTAAGAACAACTACATTAAATAATAATAATTAAAATGATAGAAGCAAAGTTTTCTTTCAAAATAAAATCTTTGTTGAAATTTACAAGTTAATTGGAGAAAGTCTTAAGGTCAGATCATAGAAAATCCCAGTAATTAAGAATGATATATCCATTTAGCTGCAGAATAGTATTAGGTGTTCCCTAGGGTCTGTGACCTGCCTGGACTCAAGTTCTCGGCCTGATAATGGCACTGGGTATGGGTTTCTTCTTGTGGATCTTAACTTAAATCCAACTAGAGTATTTGTTTAATGCCATGATAAGCTTGCTACTGTTGTGCCAGGGGGCATGTCTTGCCAGAGCAGAGGTGATTATATCTCACAGGTTCACAGCTGTATAAGATTGAAGGTTCCTTTTTCTCTTCTGCAACTATAAAAACTATCTAGTAGGGATGGTGTGCCCAAATCAATACCAGCTTGAATTCTCCAAGCTCTGTTACCCAGGAACAGACTCATAACCACCATGTTCTGAGTGGTAACCTAGGGCACTGGCAATAATATGTAATGTCTATGGGTCTATGGAACCTCATTACCCAAGATCCCGTAACTGAGCATTTCATTTCTTAACCTGTGTTACCTAGTAGAAACATTGTCTTTCTATTGTAGTGTAACTCCCTTTGAACCATTTTAGTATGCAAACATAAAATATTTGTGCATATGTGATATATATTATATTAGGAAGTATCAACAGCAGTAGATCTTATGTTACATTTTTGAAAGACCTTTAGTGTTAAGAAACATTCCTCATATTTCTTCCTTTACCCTGGTCTCCCATAACATACACAAATTTAACCTTCCTATTCCCTTAATCCACTTTAAGCATTTTTGCTTCTGGTAGCTATCCCCTACTTTAAAGCCCTTCCTCTATGGTTCCTATTAATTTTCTGAACTTTGTGGGTATTCCAAGTGAAACATTCATAGCTAACAATTCCAAGATAATGTCTACAAAAAGAAGATATGTTATATTTGTCTCTCTCAGCTCACTATTTTCCAGCTCCAGCCATTCATCTGTGAATGTCATAGTTTTTTTTTTTCTTAGTAGCTGAATGTCATACTATTGTATATTATCCATTCACCAGTTGATGAACATCTAGGCTGTTTCCATTTCCTGGCTGCTGTGGATAGATTAGCAATCAACATGGACAAGCAAGTATTTCTGTAATAGGAATATAGAGTCCTCTGAGTGTATATCCAAGTGTGATCATGTGGTAGATGTATTTTTAGCTTGGGGGTGGGACTTGACACTGGTTTCCACAAGGAACCACCAGCAGGAAACAAGTGCTCCCCTTTTCCCACATCCACAACAGGATTTGTCAATATCATTCTTAATTCTTACCATTCTGCAAAATTCTAACATTATTGTTCATGGAAATTAAAATTTTAATCTTAAATTACACATGGAGACAGAAGCAACCTAGAATAGTCAAGATGGTCCTGAACCATTAAAAAAAACCTATTAATGGACTCACTAACCTTTATTTCAAGTTATACTAACTACTCAACTGAAGTCTTGATCTTTTCTTGTATGCATGTTTCAGGTTAATAGTGGCATTCAGTGCATGGCCATTCGGCACTTTGGTGAATTACTTATGGATATGAGTGAATACAAACGCATGCTAAACCATATAATCCTAGGGAGTCTTGTGCCCCTTATCCTGTTTTTGGAGTCTACAGAAACAAGAATAATGAATGTAAGAGCTTTTTTCCTTGAATTTGTTATATAATCTTAATATAAACCCAGTATAGTGTTTTATGTAACAGCAAGTCAAATCTCACTGATCTTTCCTCTCTCTCTCAGGCTTGCAGATATACATTAACTATGTGCTTCTCACAACTAAAGTGGTCAACATTGTATCTACTCCAGGAGGATAATTACAATTTTGAGTCAATGGTTCTTAGTATCTGCAACAATCTTGTAAGTGGCTCTCTGCTTTAACTGTCCTAAACATGATATTAAAGTAACACAAATTGTGAGTGATACAATGATCTTGCAGAAAGAATGTGAAGAAAAGATAATGTTTCTATTTACAGTGAGAGCTTTAGATCAAAAAACAATTCACACTCTCAACATTGATCATTCTACTCTTCCTCCTATGTTGACCTGTGGGAGGATATGAACTTGAGAATACTCACATCACCAAAGGAAAACTGGAATTATTTGACCTCATGAACTGGTATTTTGAAATCCAGTATGAACAAGGGTAAATAAATGGGGATGAGAGGATGCTAACTATAGGTTGGAAACACAATGCTGTTTCAAGAATGGTATAAGAGATTGATCCTTGCCGGCAGCTCAAAGAGCATAGTTCACACAGACAAACTTCCAAGTTTTAAACTGTTATTAATTTCATACTAACAATTAAGTAATTAAGGTCTGATGGGAGATGTCATTCTGTAAGTATGTTATTCTTATTGGTTAATGAATAAAACCCTATTGACCAATAGGAAAGCAAGATAGCTGGGACTAGGAGACAAGGATGATTCTGGGACATGTAGGAGGAGAGTCAAGATGTAAGAACTTGATAAGAAGGTTTGCACACTCTCTCTGGTAAAATAAGACCACATGGAAACACTTAGATTAATAGTGATGGGTTAATATTTAAGACAGAGCTAGCCAATAAGAAATGACAGCTTATGGTGGACAGGATGTGAAGTAAGAGGAACACTCCTCTGTGGAAGCCTTTATTATTTATTACAGAAGTAGCAATAAATATTTTAGGTATCAACCCACCAGAATTAACTTCTAATAGACAAAGCTTACCTTGCAAAGTCTGCAAGAAATATAGATACCATAATATATATGAATATTATGAATTTGGCTATATATAGAATATATACTGGGTACTTTATATTCTCAAAAGGGCCCCAGAGAAAGGAATTCCTTCTCACTGGGGTGTCAGTGGTAAGAGTGCTCCACTGCTTACTAAAGCTGGAAGCAGCAGCCTCTGGATCTCACACTATATAGCCTTAGTTTCCCCCTTTGATCTGGTGCTGAAAAGCTCTCTTTAATTGGTTAGCAGCACATTTTACAAGTCATATTGCCTCTCAGAGACATGTGTCCTGCTTTTATCAAGATTTTACCTACCTCCCTGACTCTGAAAGATATGCAAGATATTGTCAGAGAGTTGTTAAATGTGTCTCTGGATATATAAACTGGAAGCTGTGTGGGACCTATGAGAATTTTTAGAAGGAACTTACAGAGAATTTTTAGAAAGAATTTTAGGAGAATTTTTAAGGAAATCATTAAGGAGGAGAATTTTTAAAGAAGAATTTTTGAAAGAGAACTCTAAGAGAGTACTTAATAGAGGGAAAATTATTAGAGAGAACTGAAAGAAGATGTGTTACAGAGAGCCTTTTGAGAGAGTGAGAGAACTTTGGAAAGAACATTTCTTTCTTTCTTTTTTTTTTTAAGAATAAAGAGCCACCTTGTTTGCTTTATTGATATACCTTTAGGAAATGACAATTCTTCTGGCTCACCCAATTTCTAAGTATCTTTTGAAAACTTGTGCCCTTGTTAAGAGCATTTGTTGCTCTTGCTGAGGACCATGGGTTAGTCCTTGATAACTACATAGAGAGTCTCGCAACCAGTCAACTACAGGTCCAGGGATCTGATGCCCTCTTTTGGCCCCTACAGGCATCTGCACACATTTGCACATACATCCACACAGATAAACATGTATACATACTCAAAATATAAAATAAAAATATAAAACTCAAAAAAAAAAAAAAAAAAAAAAAAAAATAAAGAGCCACGAGGAAAAAAAATGCTAGTAACAGGCCAACAGCTTTATATCTATACAGCATTTCTATGTGTTATTTGGGGCTGGTGCGACTGTTGGGACCAGGCTGGCAAGAAAACTGCCCATAACAAAGGTCTCTTACTTTGACTTTTCTCTAGAGGAAGCAAATATGCTTTGCCAACAATTAAGAAAGTTATTTTCCTGTTTTATTCCCAGCTTTCTTCTTATGAGAGTTACATTATAGACTTAATATCTGATACCTTAGGGTTCCTGGGAAGCTCTCGAGCCTTTCTGAAGAAAGGATCCATTATATTAGTAGGTAAATAAATTTAATTTTTCTTAATTTGTCTTTGAATATACAAAATAGGATTCAAGTCAAAACTATTCATTAAAATATTTACAGATTTTTATGAATGACAATACCTGTCATGATGATAAATATGATGACTGTGGTCAATATGTGTAATTGCAATAGAGTTCTATTTTACAAAGTGTTGTAAAATAAAACTTATTATAACATAAAATGTGTTCAACAAGATGGATAATAAAATTTTAGAATGTGTTATCATTCCTAAATCATCCCTCCCTCTATTGCCTAAAATCACAATCTAAATAACAAGAGTGATTTATAACTTCATATAACCACCATATTCAATGTATCCTGAACACCTGTAACTACAAACTACAATGAATAAGAATGAGCTATATGATCTAGTGAAGTTTAGAAAAAAAAATACATATGGGAGAAGCCCAGAAAGGTACTCAGAGGGAAAGACAACTAAATTTTTGACTTTGAACAAATCTGACCAATGGCAGTGGTTGTTTTCCTCAAGACACTCTCAACAGTGAGAGTCTGGAACTCCCAATTTGGTGATTGGTCTCCTCTTGTCCAAATTTGGGACCCTAGTCTATCAAGAACAGAGAGGAATGGTTATATCACACTGTAGAGAAACAGGACAGTCAAAGTACATAACCAACTGAACCATGAGGAGCATTAGACTTCTGGAGTGGAGACAGAGACAGAGACAGTGAGATAGAGACACAGAGACAGAGACAGAGTTCTGTAATAACTTTATTTCAAACCAATACAATCTCCTGAATGACCTGGACCTTATCATCTCTATGTGTAACAACTATGGAATCTCCAATAAATAACTTTATAAAAGGGAAGCACCATTTTTCTGTAGAGGTACTTCAAGGGGAAAACAGAGAAAAGAAGAGAAAAAAAATACAGTTTTTTTTTTTTTTTTTTTTTTTAAACCAAACAGTTGAGACGCACCTAAAACTTTAAAACAAAGGTTGAATGTATCTAAAAATATACAAGATGTATCTGATGAAACCAGCTAAGACCATGAAATTAAGATTTTACCGCATAGGAGACAAGTGTAAGGAAAGATACATAGCCATCATAGAAAAGAAAAACAGCTGTAACCTGCAAATGAAAAAAAAAAAAAAAAAAACAAATCTACAGTGTTAGTAGTGATAAGCCAATCCCCAACAAGAGCTAAGTTCACATGGGAGAGATCAGTGTCCATCTTACTGTGATGCTTCAGAATAGACATTGATTATATACAGTTGTTTGTACATATATTCTAATTTAAAATATAATTTTAAATCTCCCAAATCTTATAGATCAATGGTGGAAATATATAAGAACAAAAGATACAATTTATAATGGGTAAAAAGAAATAATGAAAGAAAATTATCATCTTAGGGTTTTTATTGCTGTGAAGAGACACCATAACCATAGAAACTCTTTTTGTTTGTCTGTTTGGTTTTTTGTTTTGTTTTGTTTGTTTTTTTGCTTTTTTGTTTGTTTGTTTTTGTTTGTTTGTTTTGAGACAGGGTTTCTTTGTATTGCTTTGGAGCCTGTCCTGGAACTAGCTCTGTAGACAGGCTGGCCTCGAACACACAGAGATCTACTTGCCTCTTTCTCCCGAGTGCTGGGATTAAAGGGATGTACCACCAATGCCAGGCTTGACCATAGAAACTCTATCTTTTTTTTTCTTTCCTTTTTTTGGTTAAATTTATTTATTTTTCTTATTTTAAGTAACGATCCCAGTTCCAACTCCCTTCTTCCCTCTCTCCCTCCCATGCCCCCCAACACTCTCCCATCCCATTTCCCCCACACACTCCACAGGGAGGGTGATGCCTTCCAGGAAGGATCAACAAAATCTGTCAAGTCATTTGGAGTAGGGACTAGGTCCTCCCTCCTGCCTCTAGGTTAAGGGAGTATCTCTCCATGGGGAATGTGCTCCCAAAGTCCTTTTGTGCACCAGGGAAACATCCTGGTTCCACTTTCAGAGGTCCCTTAGACTGCCCTGGCCTTCTATCTGAGAGTCCCATGTTCAGGGGGTCTGAGTCAGTCCAATGCTGGTTTCCCAGCTATTAGTCTGGGGGCCCATTTGTCCTCCTTGTCCATGTCAGCTGTCTCTGTGGGTTTCTGTAGCCTGGTCTTGTCCTCCTTCTCTTAATCTGGAAATGAGACCTACAAGACTGACCCCACCTAACAATTTGAGCAACAGTGGAAAGGCTACCATAAATGCCCTTCCCTGATAATGAGATTGATGACTAACTTATCCACCATCATAGTATCTGATGGAAACAGAAGCAGACACCCACAGTTAAACACTGAGTTGAACTGGAATACAGACAATAGAAACTCTTACAGAAGAAGACACTTAATTGATTTCCAGCTTTTAGTCTATTATGGCATGCGTGCAGGCTGACATGGTACTGGATACATCTTGATCAGAAGGCAACAGAAAGTGGTCTGTCTGCCACACTAAGAGAAGCTGGAACAAAAAAGACCTCAAAGCCTACCCCCATAGTGACACACTTCCTCCAACAAGGCTACACCTACTCCACCAAGGCCACACCTCCATAGAGCACCATTCCTTATGAGATTATGGTGGTCAGTTTTCAAACCACTACAATGATTAAGGAATAAATGTGAGGGAAGGAGAGATGAAGGAAAGGAGGTGGGGATAGGAGAGAGCTGGGAAGGAGATGAAGATGAGAAGGAAGGAAAAGGGGAAGAAAAGAAGAAAGGGTAGATTAAGAGAGGGAGGAGGGAATAAAGACCAACTTTGAAGTGCATGTATTCCACACATGAAGACTACTTATGAATGCTACCAAGGAAAATGGAATTTGAACAATGAGTAGCATATAAATTCTGCTTTGAGAAAGAAGAATGAGATTTAAAGTCCCAATGAGCTTTTTTTAAACCTATGCCTATATCAACAGTTTGTTTCTAAGGTTGATACATTGCTTTCCAAGTTAATATTAAAAAGTTATATACAAAAACAGTGAAGATTCCAATTCAAAAGATTCCTGAGACAAGCTATGCCAGATGTCAGCAAGAGGCAGGAAAAAATTGAACAAAATAACATCAAGAAATAACCCCTAAATTAAAGGGTGAGCCACAAACTTTAACAGAAATGAAAATATGGAATAGTCTTTAAATGTAGGGATACTTGGTAAATCAATATATATAATTTTTTTCACTCCTGAATTAAACAAAACCCAAAAGGGAAAAGAAGATTTGGTGCTATACTGAACCCATAATTATAAAATAATTTCATAAACTCACATGGAAAATGTACTTGATAATCACAGGTTAGAGGAGCTTTCTAAGTGAAAGTTACTATCTAAGCCATAAGAAAAGATTGCCAATTCTGTAATATTAAAGATTAATGAAAAAAAAACTGCAAAGTTAAAATCCAAATTAAAAAAACCATAGGAAAAAATCTGGTAAAAATGCAAAGATTATAAAAAACTGGCCTTTAAGCATAAAATTTTCACAGTTTCATAAAAAAAGCAATGCAAGACTGTATTTTATTTCCACTTCCTTAGAAGATCTCCTCCTCCTCTATGTGCTCTTACTAGCTACCTAACCTTTATAAATGAAACACATCTCTAAAGCAGAAGAGCTAACATCTACATATAAGAGAAAACATACAACGTTTGTCTTTCTGAGTCTGAGTTACCTCTCTTAGGATGAGTGCCTCTAATTCCACCTACTTATCTGAAAATTTCAGTTTTATTTTTCATAGCAGCTACATAGCAGCTACAAAAATGTACCACATTTTTGTTATTCATTCATCAGTTGATGGACATCTAGGAAGCTGGAGTCCCATATGTTTTATTGCAATATGTTATGTAGTTCTGACCGTGTTATAGGAAAATGGAAATGATTTTTCATCACAGGGATGCTATGAGTTACCTTTACTAAGAAAGACAATGCCCATCAAAACACAGAATGAGTCTTTTTAGTGTTGTTGCTGTTACTTGTGGTTCTAGGGATCATGATAGGGCAAAGTACTCATCCACTGAGCTACATGCTCACCTTTATTTTATTTCTTAATTTAAATGGGAAACAATTTTGTTTTACATGTCAATCCCAGTTCCCTCTCCCTCCCCTCCTCCTCTGACCCCCACTGATCCCCTATCCCATCCCCTTTTTGCTCTTCAGGGAGAATGAGATCTTCCATGGGGGATCTTCAAAGTCTGTCACATCATTTGTTTGGGGCAGAGTTTAGGCCCTCCCCCATGTATCTAGGCTGAGAGAGTATCCCTCTATGTGGAATGGGCTCCCAAAGTCCATTCGCATACACTAGGGATAAATACTGATCCCCCATAGACTGCCCAGACTTCCTAACTAACACTCACATTCAGGGAATCTGGGTCAGTCCTATGCTGGTTTCCCAGACATCAGACTGGAGTCCATGAGCTCCCTGTTGTTCAGGTCAGTTGTCTCTGTGGGTTTCTCCAGCCTGGTCTTGACCCCTTTGCCCATCACTGCTTCCTCTCTGCACTATTTCCCAGGAGTTCAGCTCAGTACTTACCAGCTTTATTTTTATTTAACAGTTTCCTGCATATACATAATGAAGTCCATCCCCCTTACTCTCTGTTGCTCCATCATCATTCTGTCTCTCACTGAAAGTCTTTTCCCCAACAAGCCCCACCCCCTGCTACTTTTCAGGCCTTTTGTGTGTGAGATAGTTTTAATAGGGTTGATGGCAAGAGCATGGATAGGCAGTTATTTCCTGGAATATGGGCAACTTATAAGTGGTTATATACCACTGAAGAGAGGGGTCCTGTGACTCCTGTGACACTTCTGAGTGCTTGTAAGAAAACTCCAAGAAATCAAGACAAGAGTCTTACAACCTCAGTTTTATCAAAAACACAAAATTGTTATTAGTTTATGCATTTTTAATGCCCCTCCAAGGTGTAACAGATATGGGTGAGTTTACACTGGCTATTGTTATTTGTTTATATGCCTCTATGGAAAAACGTGGTTTTGCCACTTGGGGCTTGCATGCCACTTGAGGCTTAACTTTGTCATTGTACACTTTACTCATGTGACTCTTCTTAACCAACATGTCTAACACTTTGAACAAAGTTGGCTATTACAGAGACTATAGACCATGGCTCCATTATCAGGTCCCATCCTAGAGCAGGAAACAATTGATTAGATATGTAAACAAAACGAGTCAATAGCCAGGCTGTGTTTCAAGGAATCCCTACTCAGCTACTCTTTGTGTTAAAATGGCACTACACAAGTTATTTCTACAGGAAGAAACATAGATACGTGTTGTTCTGTGTTCTACTCTTTTGGCTTTTTTGAAATCTTTGGGGGCCCTGCCACGCAGCTCCCAAACGGATCACATGTGGAGGCTTATTCTTAGTTATGAGTGCCTGGCCTTAACTTGGCTTGTTGTTGGCCAGCTTTTCTTATCTTATCCCATCTTCCTTTTCACTCTGGGCTTTTATCTTTCTTACTCTGAATCCCTTTTCTTTCCTTCTTTACTCCATGTCTGACTGTGTAGCTGGGTGGCTGGGCGGCTGGGCGACTAGGTGGCTGGCTCCTGACATCTTCCTCTCCTTGTTCTCTTGTCCTCCTCCTCTCTTCCTCCCCTCCCCCTCCTCCTTTTCAGTTCTCCTTTAATTTATACTCTGCCTGTCAGACCCGTCTATCCTTGCTCCTGTCATGCTATTGACCATTCAGCTCCTTATTAGACCATCAGGTGTTTTAGACAGGTAAAGAATCACAGCTTCACCGAGTTAAAACAAATGCAGCATAAACAGTCACATACCTTAAAATAATATTCTACCACAGATATATTTCACAAAACTATGTTGAATGAAGATAGTGGAGCCCCAAAATACATTCTGAAATGTGGGGAAGGAAACTGCAAAGGGCTTGTGGAAGTCTTCTGGGATATGAACCTACTTGGTAGCTAAAGTGTGTTCACTTTGTAGTAATCCTGATAATCCCAATGGCAAGAATAAGATCACTACCACAATCTGAGCGGAACTCAAAATAAGCTTGATTTTTACTGGGGCACACCCAAGAGCTAGCTAGAACTGCCTCCAAAGTTTGGTTAAAGAAAATAGCCCACAATCCATTCTTGGGCACCTTTTAAGAAGTAAAATCACAAGTAGTTTGAGAGAGAGAAAAAAAAATAGGACAAGAAAATATAACAATTAAAAAACCATCATGTGATGACCCACCATGTGGGTCAGGGAGGTCAGGGAGGGTTTGGGTATTTTCAAAAACAAATAAAGGTCGTGGGTTGGGGAAGGTCAGGTTCCAGAAAACAGAGCTACTCAACTCTCACAACAAATTGAAACTTAATTTTTAAAAGTACAGCATAATGGCTCCTGCATTTAAAATGGAGTCAGGCAGGTTCCTCAATTCTTCATACACATTTTAATTTTTTATTGAATAGTGATTGTTTGAAATTGCTAAAAGATAGTTTAAGGAGAATCTATGATCTAGCTAGATAATAGCAGAAATGTTTTTAATAGCCAATTTGACCTAACTTTTCATATACTTTACACATAGGGTACTTGGGGAAATCTGGAGCACATTTACTGCTCAGAGAAGAAATTGACGTCATGATTGAGGGTAAGATTAACATCTTTGTGTATAGAGCCAAATAAATTTGCTATTCTGATTCTAGTTAGATGGAGTTCTATATAGGGATTACAGGATGGAAATCAGGTGGTGGTAGGTTTATGGATTGGAAAATCAGGAGAGGGACTAGGTTAAGGGGCATTTGTTTTTTCTCTCCCTAGTCTCTCTTACTGTCCCTGTTTCATTATCCAAATTTATCCCATTTGTCTGAAAACTAATTATCATGACAGAGTCTTAAGAAGCTACAAGTTCAGGAGTCATTCACTTTCAAATCCTGCAAATCTTTTTACCTCTATGTCCTATATAACAGACCATGTAGTAAATAAAGCTGGCTCTTTCCTCATGAATTTTACATTTCAGTGAATATAAGCACGCATTACATTCAGAGGGGGAGGCATTAAATAAGGGTAATGTTATTCCTTCAAAGGGCATTGTTACTGGCATCACTCTCTCTTAACATCTCTCTACTGCCTTATTAGAAAATAGCATGGGGCAGGGCCGGAGAGATGGCTCAGCAGTTGGAAGCACTTGTTCTTGCTGAGGACCAAAGTTCAACTACCAGTATCAACATGGTGTCCCACAACCATCCACAACACCATTTCCAGGGTATCCAGTACCCTATTCTAACCTCTGCACCAAGAACACGAGTGCTGCATATACACACGATCAGGAAAACAATTCATAAACATAAAATATGATAAGTAAATCTAAAAATATTTAAAGAGAACAGCTAGGATAGCTGTCTGCCCCTGTTACCCTCCCTCCCTTCTTCCCTTCTTTCCTTCCTCCCTTCCTCTCTCCCACCCTTCCTGTCTGTCTTTATTTTTAAAGTCTACTATTGTCCACAGTAGTTTCAGATTCACTACAACACTGCTGGAAGTTCAAGGATTTCCCATGTGCTTCCACACTGTGCTCATGCAATCTCCGCCCCCGTCAGTGCCTCCCACCAGAGTGGTATGGTTTCAATAAGGAGTTGTGCCCACTTGGTGCATCATTATCTCGCCTTCACTCAGTCAGTCACTTTATTCATTCAACACTTCTGATCACATACTAAATGTCAAGCATTACATTTCTCCCGTAACCCTTCTTAAGATCTCTCTTCTGTCTTTTCTCTCTCTTCCTCTCATTTTCTTTTCTAAAACATCCTTCTTCATTCTATTTCTTTTATCCATAAATAAAGAAAGAAAGAAAGAAAGAAAGAAAGAAAGAAAGAAAGAAAGAAAATGGCTCACCTTGTAGTCCCAGCATTTGGAAGGTTGAAGGGGAAAAATTGCCACAAGTTCAAGGCTATTTATCATACAAGTATTTTCATGACAATGAATATGCATTGATGCATATTAAAATATATGTGCTTTTTATTTTATTTTTATTTAATTTTAATCAGTTTTCTATTGATAAGCACTTAGACTTATTTCTGCATTTTACATGACTATTACCAACACATTGTAAGGTCTCTCCTTACAATACGGAGCAGAATGCTTGACACGTATATATGCCATAAATTTGATAACCATTTTTATTCTTTTTAAATAGATCTTATTAGTCAAGTAAAGAGAGGGATAGGGAAGAGTTGCATGGGGAGAATATGAGGGTAAGTGGCCTGGTGAAATGTGGTAGCTTAGGCTTAATGCTTCTTGGAGTCAAAGAGACCTTGACCTAAGGATCTTTTGCCATTACAGTTGTTGAACGAGTGACTCGGGAGGAAGATCCTGTGATCAAGATGTTGGCAGAAAAAACCCATAAACTTTTTAAAGAGATAGCCTATAGAATAGCCTCCTCAACAATTAAGCAAACTCTTCGAAGATGGGTTAAGATGTTCCATACCAAAAAATTGAAGCCCATTTATGACTTGGCCAATGTTGTAGCCCTTATGGAGAATACTGCAGAAGAATCTGCAGAAGTGAAGTTAAATAAAAGTACTCTGGAGGAGCTTACTAATGAGATATCCAACAAGTGATTTCAGAAGAAAGAAGCATTCTTTACTGCTTAGGAACCTCAGTCTGTGCTTAAGCCCTTTTCTGGGAAATGCTAAGTTATCACTAATCCTTCTAATTATTAAAAATATATAAATCTGAGCACTCTACAACATGTCTGATGATGAGAAATAGCTTCCACACAGCACCGAGAATCCTGAGCTGCATTCTTATGCTTTCTTAGCCAAGCTGGGTAGGCACTGCTTCCTTCCTGTCTTAACATCCTGATTGAAAATTTTTCCCCTTGCACTTATCAGATTTACTAAAATCATTGCCCTCTTTCTCACCTAACTAAATTTTATTGGAAACGCCCATCTTATATGTATGCACTAGGATGCACAGAACTTGGTATCTGATGTAAAAAGAAAAAAAAAAATGAACACTAGCCAAAGAAGTTACATACCAAAGAACATATCACTTTTATGTTTTGTAATATGTGAGTGACACTGTCATCCCCACATACTTGTAAGCATTCCTTAACAGAAATAATAAACAATTATTTGAACGGGAACTGACAGACACACTATGTGTTAATTGTGTCTGCATTATTTTACATGCATCCCGCCATCTCTAATGGTCGTGGTTATATTTTAATGCCAGGATTACAGAGGAAAACAATCTCTGTTGGGTTTGACAAAGCGCAGAGAGCTTGTGCCAGGCAATGTATACTGACAAACAGTCCTGCTAAACTCCACAGAGGTGCTTATCCCCTGATGTAACTGAACAAAAAGTCTGAACGGCAGAAAGTATTAATATATTAGACAACCAGGTCTATGATACCTAAATTCTGTCTAGAAGATACTTATATAATATTTTTCTTGAGATTTTTTTTAATTTTTATAAGACTAAATTCAAATGGGTATCAACAGATGAGTGATAAACTAAATGTAGATTTATCTATAGTGGAATATTGTTAGATATTTTTTAAATGAATGAAATACTAGCACACCAGCCTGAAAATTATATTACTAAGTGGAACAACCACAACTGTGTGATTCCTTACACACAAAATATTGGAAATATTTAAATCTGCAAGCAATAAGAAGTATGCTAGTGGCAACTAGGATTTATGGAAGGAATTATGGGAGGATGGGGAATAGGAATAAGGGTATGATAGGAGATTTCCTTAAGGAGTGATGGAAAATCCTGTAGCTACACAAAGATGGTGGTTATACAACATCCTAAATGCACTAAATCCCACCAAATATAGATTGCAAAATGATTGACTTTGTGTTGTATAAACCTCATCCCATCTTTTTAAATAATGATAGAACACAGGCCCACTCTGTCTGAGCCAAGGGAATCCTGACCCTACATGACTTCTTGACTAAGCCAGCTGCCACCCGGAGCCAAAGTTCTGTCAGGTAAAAGTTGTTTTAGCCTCTTCTGGAATGTATACATTCCCTCCCTCTCAGAAGCAGTCATGTTCCAGGAGGACTCTCCCTGGAGCTCCTGGTATGTGACCTTAGGTGACCTTCTACAAAAAGGAAACATTTTTTCAGTCTCTGTTCATAGTGTCCATACAATGTTCAAGGAAGACTAACCTGTGGATATACATTTTAAATGGCACCAATATGAAGGAAGGTCAGTGAGAATGGAAGATCCCAATCCACAAATAAACTTTTTTTCCAGGCTGTGGGTACACTATGGGGAAAAGCTTATCATTGGGGCTCCACTTATCATAGGGAGAAGCTCTCTCAATATTTTTCAAAAAGGAAGAGAAACTACAATTTCTTTATGGGGAATTCCCTATTTGGGTTGTACTTGTGAAGAGATTTCAAAGCAAACATTCCACCATGGAGGTCATGAGTTGCTCATGCCCCACATGGCCACACAACCAAGTACCTGTCCTCCACAGGATGAGATGTGACCAAAGTTTTAGCAGTGGATGCTAAGCAGAAGAGAATGCTCCAACTTCAGCAGCTCTTGCCTGACATAGCGTGCTTGGTTCCTTCCTGGTGAAGAAACTCAACCACTGCAGACAGAAGGTCCCTGGAGCATGGCAGAGCCTTCCTATCCCATCACCTACATAGGCACCTGCAGGCCCCATCAAGGCCTGGTTCATGAAACAGTCATGAGGTATGTTTGCAGGTAAAGATCTGATTGCAGCAAATCAGTCTCTTCGTTCTCGTCCTATTTCCCCTTCAGAAATATCTGCGTGCTTGAAGCCTGAAAATACACTACTAAAGCTTGACTGGTGGCTATGAAACATCGCTATTAAAATGCCATAAACTTTATCTCAGGGAGTCTGTGACAGTTAATCTTAGTTGTCAACTTGGCTGGATCTACAAACAACGGAACAAAAATCAGTTGGGCATATCTGTGATGGATTGCCTTGAGCAGTTTAACTGAAATCGCAAGGCCCACCCTCAAGGTGGATGATACCTTCCAGTGGCAGACCAGAAAAAGGGAAGTCAAAGAAAGAAAAGCTTTGGTTTTGGCCTTGTTATATTGGTAAGCTCATCCATATTTTCCTGTTGGTGCTGATGCTGCTGTCACTGCTGCCATTTATCACCTACTTAGAATTCAGTTTCATTGGCCTTCCAGCATGAAGTGAAGACCAGTGCCTCTCCAGGAATCCCCTATGCTTTCAGCACAGCTGAGGATTTTGTGTTGGAAAACCCTGAAATTAAGGTTGTAGTCCACCATGTCCAGATAATTCTCTGAGCTCCATGCAAAATGGAGGACCCCTTTTCTCAACAGGCTTTCCTCTTCTCTGTCTAATCTTATTTGGAGAGTGTCTCTTAGCCCTGTTTGGAAGATGACCCTGCTCAGAGCTCCCTGCAAACACTGTATGACTCAGCACAAACCTCCTGCTCGTTCCTCCTACCTGTATGATACTTAAGGATGTGTCATGACAAATCAGCCCTTCCTGCCCTTAACCCTAAGAACCCTTATGTACCTAACCCCTGGAACAATAAAATGAGCTGATTCTCCGAAGCTGGCTCCCAGGAGTTCTTTCCATCACGCTCATGGCTGCCCTCATAGGATGGTAGACAACAATCCTGGAGTGAGACCTACACTCATGACCTAAGAAGGTACTGGGTTCTTAGCCTCTCCAGTGTGAATTCAGCCACTCTTGGACTGCCTGCAAACCAATCTAAGAAATCCTCTCATAATATCTGTGTGTTCCATGAGTCCTGATCCTCTCGGGGCCCCTAGTATGGAACCAGGAGAATGAAGAACATAACAGAATTTCCTTCACATCACCAGAACATGCCTCTGTCATCTTGCTACTGCTTGTAGTTCTGTGGCCTCTTTGTGATATGTCTACTCCTTAGTCATGTGTGGCTTCCTGCAACCTAGCCCACAGTTTACCACCACTAACATCACATGTTAGAACTGCATTCCAAAATCCTCAATTCCTTTTTATGCTTTTAGTTTTCATTTTTGTTATTTGTAACCCAGTGGAATTCCTGATGCTGTCTTTGTTTTTTGTTCTCATAGCCAAATCCCCTGCTATTATGGCACTATATTTTTTAGCTCATTGTTAAATTCAACCCATTTTTCATGTACTGAAAAGTCAAAGAATCTGCCAACTAAAACTATAAAATGGCATTGTTACCAAACATGTCTTTATTTAAGAGAAGTTAAAGTATGATTCAGTTAATTGTACTGTAAGTTTGATCCATTTATTTTTAAAACAATGTATGTATGTGCAATAGTATATACATATGTAATTTTAGAAACATATACCAAAAAACATTAATAAGTTTCCAAATTGGAGTAAAACAAATGAAATTTATAGGTACAACCCTTTTTATTTTCACAGTTTACTTTTAAGCTTTATTTGCATATATTACATTTCTTATATTTTTTCCAATTTAGAATAGACTATAGTAGCGAACACTAAATTACTTGACTGCTGGAGCACCCATATACATTGTTGACCAAAAGAGTCAACTTGAAACAAGTCACTGTAACTTGCAGAAGAAATGCAAAGCCATCTGTGGAGAGGCATATGGAAAGGTTTGAAGGGAGGAAAGAATGTATTATAAAAATAAAATGAAACAAAATAAAAACAAAACACTTGCTCTCTTGTAGTGGTTTGAAAAGAAAAATGATCCCCAAAGGAAATGGCACTATTAGGAGGTGTAGCCTTGTTGGAGTTGGTGTGGATTTTTAGAAGAAATGTGTCACTGTGGGGGTGGGCTAGGTGGTCTCCTTTGCTCATGCTCTTCTCAGAGTGGTACACAGTTCATTTCTTATTGCCTATGGGTCAAGGTGTAGAAACTTCAGCTCCTTTTCTGGCACTGTGTCTGCCTGGACACAGTCATGTTTCCCTCTATGATGATAATGCACTAAAACTCAAAACTGTAAGCCACCCCAATTAAATGTTTTCCTTTGTAAGAGGTGTCATGGTATCTCTTCACAGCAATAGAAACCCTAAGATTTCCCAGCATTTATCTACAGGCTTTTTGGTGACAAGTGCTACATAATATTTGGCCTTAGCACCTGGAACTTTGCAGAATTATCAGACATAATAGGAGCTCGATAAATACTTTTGGAAATTTTGAGACCATGATAATGAAGATAAATTTAGGTTCTGTAGATTAAGCCTAAAATGGTGATTTTTGAGCAGGGCCATGAATTAATTAAACTATCGGGAAAAAAAAAACTGGTCTGAAGGTGGTTTGTTGTGGGAGGCAGACAGGAAAACATAAAATAACCACCATGGTTTTAGGGGTGGATGCTAATTGACTGGTGGTGGGGATAGGATTGTACTTCCACACCATGAATATTTCCCAGTATAATTTTAGATCCATTATAAAAGTCAATATCTCCTTTAGACTCCAACTCATTAAACATGGAGCAAGATCTAAAATGTGAATCCCTACAAGCTAAACCTCTTTAAAGAACCATAGACACCCAAGCGCTCACAAAGCTGAAAGAGAATCTGATAGTTTGCCCATGTGTTCTGCTTTCAGAAAACTCTGCAGATTCTTCCACTGGGATTTTCCCTCTGTACCCCTTCCTTTGCCAA